AGTGGGGAAAAAAGCGCAGTAATTAGCTATTCAGAGAGGGGTAGAAAAATGGGAAGACTATCCGAGGGGAGTGGTAATCAGGTAAAAGTGCCTTGGACCAGGAAATTGTGCGGAAAAACAACCGAGAACAAAGTGTTCTAAACGCGATAGAGAAAATGAGTAAGAAGTAAAATCGGGTGAAGAGGTTTTGACCAAACAGGATCTATTTTTTGCCGTGCAAAACTAGTATAAGGGGAATTCTCGCTCCAATATAGCAAGAGGGGTCGAACGTGGAAAATCAGTTTGTTAGCAAAAGGGTCTAAAGTGGAAAAATCGAAAAACGCTAGACCCTTAACGTGAGAGCGGGACCTGAAAGACCCCTTAATGTGATTAGTATGGGGAAAAAATCGGGCCGGCGAGCTTGCCGGAGGGGGAATTTTCGACGTTTTTTCCGTTTCCTGTTTTCTGACGGTATGTGGTCAGTGTTTTTGTTGGACTGGGGTCTGGTTGGAACTGGGCCATTGGGGCCGGTACACACTACAATGGACAGTCTACAGTACAAGTGAATATTGCGATTATCATGGGAGTGTCTTTGACACCGTTAATGATGTGGCCACAAGGTTGTTGTCCTGTCTGGCTCAAGAGGCTCATTATTCCCATATTAGTAGACAATCCTGCCTTGAGCATTGGGACACGTACAGTAGAAACAGCAGTGACAGTAATGTGGCAGCCAGGTGGCTGTCTGTTGTTGTGACAGGCTGGACAGGGGAATGGAGACCGGGAAGTTGTCCAAGCAGTTCTTAGTCGTCCACGCAATTGATCTGTTGATGATTAGAACACACCATTGACAATGACATTCGTACACTGAGACTCAAGTGATGTGTGTCAGCTTATGGAACCCACGTTGTTCTGATTGCATCATTGGGATCTGGACTTGGCAAAGGCTGGAAATGGCCTACGACTGTATAGTTTATATATTCTGTTACATCCAGTACTCGAGACACTTTTGTACTGATATATACACCGAATAGTGGCATGGCATCATACAAAATACCGAACGCAAGCCTCCCTGCATCATGTTGATGGCTGGGTGCTGATCCTCGCCAAACCAGCCCCTTGTACAGCCTTTCGACGGGTGTTTTGACCAGCCTTTTCGCCAACAATTGGCCCACATTCTGGACAACCGTCTACGATGGAGATACTGTGTCCAGTACTTGAGCTAGGTCATTATTGCATGTCTTGTCTACTACGGTTATCTTCTCCTTGTGTCCATGGTGACACCGAATCAGGAGGAACACCACCGAACCAAAGATGTCTGAAGAACAAAACATTCTAGCAAGCAAGAGATTTGATATTATCGAAGGGTTGATTGTCGACCACACGAAGAAGTGTGTGGTCACTCCCTACAAGAAGGAGATTGCGGACAAGATCCCGTTGATTAGCTACATCAAGGAGCTGTACGACGACTGGGAGACCTATCCTAGTGGCACTGTCATCAGGTACGAGTGTCCTCAGACCAAGAGAATTGTTCAGGAAAACACCAAGAACAAGGTCTTCAGAAAACCGGATGAGGAAATGATGAAGAAGTACAACCTGGACGAGCGGTTTTTGACCAACCAGGATCTGTTCTTTGCCGTCCACAACTACTATTATGGGAATTCTCGCTCCAGTATGGCAAGAGGGGTCTAACGTGAAAATCAGTTTGTTAGCAAAAGGGTCTAACGTGAAAAATCGAAAAACGCTAGACCCCTAACGTGAGAGCGCGACCTGAAAGACCCCCTAATGTGATTAGTATGGGGAAAAAATCGGGCCGGCGAGCTTGCCGGAGGGGGAATTTTCGACGTTTTTTCCGTTTCCTGTTTTCTGACGGTATGTGGTCAGTGTTTTTGTTGGACTGGGGTCTGGTTGGAACTGGGCCATTGGGGCCGGTACACACTACAATGGACAGTCTACAGTACAAGTGAATATTGCGATTATCATGGGAGTGTCTTTGACACCGTTAATGATGTGGCCACAAGGTTGTTGTCCTGTCTGGCTCAAGAGGCTCATTTGAAGACAGCTAGAAGACAATCCTGCCTTGAGAATTGGGAGACGTACAATAGAAACAGCAGTGACAGTAATGTGGCAGCCAGGTGGCTGTCTGTTGTTGTGACAGGCTGGACAGGGAGTACCGGGGGATTTGTCCGTGCAGTTGACCTGTTAATGCTTAGAATATTACCACTGGAAATTGAACTCAGATCAACTGATGAAGTTAATAGATGAATGTGAATTCTTGGCAACTGAATTGAGTGGATGTTCAATGAAAAGATTCAAGTATAGTCTGTGATTGAATACTATATGCAAGAGGAAGTTATCAGCACACTATTCGACGGCTGAAGCGATCAAGTAGTAGTTCAGAGCTCAATCCATGGTATATTCTACTGGTTATGGAGGACTGGAAAGACATTTATTCACAACCAGTGGATCAGCAATAGGTTCCCATGAAGATCAGCGGACCATTTATCCGTCTGGTTCACAAGGACTGTTTAATAGAGAACGTGACTATAGTGATCATTAGGAACGGATACGTGCGAATGGCCAGTCTCAGTAGTGGAAGAAGATCAGTTCAGGCCTTCCTCAGTTCGATAGTGTACAAGTAGTTTACAGAAACAGTGCTATATTGAAGAGGCAATTATGTTTTGTTTTGCTGGAGTTATCGAAGTAAATCAACTGTACAATCTGGATGGTCTTTGATGCTAGCCACTGGCGAATTAGGGAGAAGATAGCTGGTAAAAGACGTTCAGGTACTGGACGGAGACTGGTAGTTGAACTGTTTGTTTACTGATTACGAGCTAATGAGAGACTTGATCTTGGGCCTAATTTGTCGTTGAGTCGGCAATTGATAGGGCGGTTGTTCGTTAGCTGGACAGACATGCTATAATTTAGAATCGAAAATTGAGAAGCCTGTACTCTGTTGTTTGCAGAGAAGCAATTCGAGCATTTTATGGACCTGGGCAGAACCCAGCTGGCCAGTAAAACTTGAGTTTGTAGCTATTTAACTAGAGAATATTTCTAGTTGCTGAGCTTGGTGAATGATAAATTGTTTAGAAAAATGACGAGAGTTCAGATGTCTGAGACGGATGAGGAGAAGACGTTCAGATACTCTAGACAGAGTACTCGTATGATATAGTGTTCTATTTGATTGTCTTGTCGAAGGTCGATGCAAGATGCGCTAGATATCGAACTTTTCGGGCGGTTAGCCACAGAAGTTATTGCCGTAGTGAATATGAGCTGATGAACATTCAAAGTGAAATAACTGTACCATACTGTAGTTAAGGAGAAGAGGTTCGGATTTTTGCTCTCTGTTACAGGTTTTCAATTCGGATTGAATGTTCTTGTTGAATTGATTATCGGTTATGCTCTTCCAGGAAATCCAAACGCACTAATGACATTGAAGGCTTTGGGCTACAACATTGATGGTCAAGCAGAAAGTTTTATTTCAGATCAAAAACTGGCTCACTATTCAAAGATACCACAGAGAGCTGTTTTCCGTGGACAAATATTTGGTTGCCTATTGCAAATCATTGTCACTTTGTGTGTGATTAACTGGGAAATTTCAAACGTTAAAGGTCTTTGTACTCCCAAGCAAGAAAGTCGGTTTTCATGCCCACAAGAAGTCACATTTTACTCTGCTTCTGTTTTATGGGGTGCCATTGGTCCAAAAAAAGTTTTCAACGAATTGTACCCAATTCTTAGATGGTTTTCTTGATTGGATTTTTGCTTGTATTTCCATGTATTTTGGCAAAGAAGTATTTCCCAAAACAAACAAAACACTTCTATCCAACTTTGATCATAGGTGGTATGCTTGTTTTTGCACCATATAACCTTTCTTACTACTATCCTGCATTTGTTCTTGGCTATATTTTCAACCATTTCATTAAGGGTAGATATCTTTCGTGGTGGGAAAGATACAACTTTGTCTTATCTGCAGGTCTTAATACAGGAACTGCTTTCTCTGCTGTCATCATATTCTTTGCAGTTCAATATCATCCAGTAGTGCTCAGTTGGTGGGGTAACAACGTTCCCTATGCTGGTACTGATGGTCAAGCTGATGGTTACCAGATGTCGCTACTTGATCCGGCCAGCCAACCTGATGGATACTTTGGTTTGAGACTTCATAACTCTACCGGCTAGGGTTTCCGTCGTTTCTTAATGGTGCCTGTTTTTTACTTTTATTTTCCTGTTTTTCCAGAGAGTTGTTACAATTTATATCTTTTTCTTCATTCATTTTAATACGCCTATATTTTTGTAATTTAGATATTTGCTGTATATTTATAAATCATTGCAGCCATAAAATTCCAAAACTTTTGTCCTGTTCCCCAAGCTTTTTTGAAAAGCTTGTTCAAACAGCAATCTCGATAAGCAGAAGTGTGGGCACTCAGTGCAACCAGTAATTAAATTTTAACTTTGAAGATTTACTAACTCTTATTATTTCATAAAAGAGCTCAACCCCCCAAACTAGTGCCACCCGTTTATCAGTGAAAAGAACTAAAAAGAATAACAGTGACAAGGAGATCCACAAGATAGTATGCTTGGTCTTACTTCACCTTGTTTAAACTGTTTGAAAATAAAAAACATAAACAAAATGTTCCAGAAATTTCCATGTGCTTGTAGTGATATGAGAAGCGGTATTCAAATAGTTACTTGTTAGCTGTTAATAAGATAAGCTTTTTAGTTAACATTGAATTAATTTCCATGAAATTCCTTTGGCTGTATTTTTTCGACTCAATGAAAATTGAGACTCTTTTTCCGTTGACAAAACAATATTGTTGCGCAAGCGTTCACTACCCACTAGTGGGTTCAGGTAGCTCATATAATTCTAAACTACAGCTGTATACCATCTCACAGAGCAAAGAAGATAATGCGGATATACTGAAACTAGTTATTGGTGTTGTAAAACTATTCCAGTTTGTAATGTAAGGAGAACAGCGCCAAATGTTCTGTTTTCAAGTCACTAAATCGATTCTGAAAGAGTGACCCATAGTCCTGTCCCATCACAGGAATGATATCTTGAAATCCGACAGACCACGTGGTCTCTGATATAAAGCTAAAAGCTACCTCAGACCGGTGCTTTGCCCAGTAAAGGTGCCCTTTTTTGACTGTCGGGGTCTAAATTCTGGTAACTTGAAGTACATGTTATCATCTGCTATTCCGATCTCAAAGAATCCTGATTCACTGTGCTATGACAAATACAGATTGTCTTGTGATTCCATGACAAAAGGCAAAAAGGCAACAGCAAGCACTGCTTGGTTTGGCAGTGGGTCGTTCAGAAGGCCAATTGGACCTGTTGAAGGACGACCCGTTTGCCCAGCTCAGGCGCCCATGCTTGGACGGCGACGCGGGGCTCTATCAGTTGCCTCCTTGCGCCTGCTGTCACTCCCTGCCGCCTATCTGCGTTCCGTCTCCTGCAGTTTTAACCACTCAGCCCCAGCATCCCCCGTGCTTTGAAGGCTCCCGTGTCGACGGGAGCAATCGACTCAACCGCGGCTAGCATCCCCCGGGATTTCAGAAAATGCATCCCTCTCTCGGGTTAGCAGGGCTGCAGCTGCGCACTCGATCTCTCGTATCGGGGCTTCCATATGCACCCCTTACGCCTGGCGCGATCTACGACACCGTTTTAGCCCGAGCCTAGGAACGCACTTCCCGCGGATAGCACTGGGGCGTCGGCCCGAAGACAACCGGCGAAACTTGTGGACGTGGTTCCGAGGTTCCGAAATTCCGGACCCACGTCCCGTGTTCCGCGACGCTCTGATTTGCGAGAGCCGGAATCCGTCTTGGGTGCTGCCGCAGATAACCGAGGCGCCGTGCGGTCGCAAGCGGATAGGGTGCAGGAAAAGCAGCGGAGACCTGGACATAGACATGTCCTTAGGTTCTTTCCATAATTGCTCCACGCAGATAAGAGGCAATAGGGGCGGGGGGGAGAGAGACATCATGGTGTTTCTGGGTTACAGATGCTTGCTCCACGTCAGTGCGTTTGAAGGGAGCAAAAAAAATTAAGCACCTCGAGTACATTAAAAGAAGCAGGGGAAAAGCTTTGGGCATCGATGGCGGCAGATACCAACAGTGGCAGAACGGACGATCACATAGCCGTCGGCTTCCAAACTTTTTCCATGCCGATCTAGTTCGTTTTATCCTCATGAAAAAGATTATATGCTTGTAAAAAAAGACAGAAACACAAGTTGATTTCTTGTAGGTTATCCAAGAGGGAAAGGTGCTGAACTTATCCCAAAGAAAGTCTCAATTTCATGCGATATTTTTGTTTCATATCTCTCTCCTTTATGGGAGTATTTATGCAGTATGTTGATGGAAAGTAAACTCACGGCTTATATTCAGGCCCATATGAAGGAAGCCAAAAGAGCTGTAACTGAAGCTCTCAGATACAGACTACATACTGTAATGAATAACATGCCAGAAGTTTTTTAATTCTATTGATTTCTTTCCGGTTTAGTTTCTTGTATTGATTAGTTGATGTGTGATATCAGGCGAAACAACAAAAAGGGGAACAAAGGCACTACTACAATCATTTTTGAAGAGAGTATTGCTTAACCGCCTGGCCTTGCCCAGAGCAATAGCAGCACTCTTTCAAAACATCCTCTGGCAATAATACTTGTCCATCTCAAATGAAGTGTTTTGCTATTGTGAGAGCGCTGTCTTGGGGCTAAATTCAGTGCTTTCGTTGACTGTATTAGTAGTCTGTGCATACCCTTTATGGTCGATCGCTGTAAACAAAAACCTACCACATCCCAGCGTCAGAAATAAAAGGCTACACACACTACCTCCTAACACCTTCCCTGCTTATTGTTTCCTGGTTGTTCTAAAGTGGAGTTGATGATTAAGCATTCCGTATGCGCTGACAAAATCTTAGCGACCAAAAATTTTAGGAATCAAATGATTCACATGATTCCACTCACTCCGATCCCTGGTTTGACGATGATTCAAAGGATCCGTGCCAAACTAAGCCATCTCTGAGTCCGCAATTAGCTGAAGCCTATAAATATCAGCTTTTTCATTCCTTGTAGGTATGTCAGTTTTTTCCCACCATATATTGGCCAGGTGTTTTTGTATCTAGGACGCCAGCAATGACATTTCCATATACCAATTGCACCACAACCACTTTGAACCGTCTCCAAATTACGCCTTTAGAGACATCGCATGAAGTCTCAGAGACACCCTCCCTAGCGGAAACCAAAATTGCAAAGGTTCATCTTCCAACAGCAATTCCGGCTCTTGATGTTTCTCCAACTGCCTTTACCCTCACTAAAGAGGAAGCTACGCCTGATGCTGTTATGGAGCTCTTGAGAAAGTATGGTATCTGTACAATCAAGAAACTTTTTGATGCCTCTGAAATTGACAGCATTAACGAAGAGCTGGACCCACTATTTGAGCTGAAAAAAAATGACCCAAGACTTTTTCCTAAAGAAACTATTCGAGTTACGAACACTGTTTCTAAATCTCCAATCGTTGTCAACAAGATCTTGTCACACCCGCTGAACTTAGCGGTTGCTCACAAAGCTTTGGATCAAGCAAATGCATTTTGGATTGGAAACAACATCAATATTGGTACTTGTCCAGCAATTGTTAGTAGCTCAATTGCCTTTCAAATTTCTCCAAACGCAGCCTGTCAAGCTTTGCATAGGGACGACCAGTCGGATCATAATATCAGATACCCTCAAACCTATGAAAGCTTCAGCTTTAATTCTGAGTCCCAGATTGGGTTTTCTGTTGCACTAACCAAAACTACTAGACAAAATGGTGCTACAAGAATAATTCCTGGTTCTCATTTATGGGATCATCTTCAGAAGCCCAATGAAGAGGATTGTATTTACAATGAAATGGAGAAAGGTGACGCGACTTTCATGCTTGCTTCCGTTCTGCATTCTGCCTCTTCAAACTTAACTAAGGATGAAGTTAGGAGAATTCTCATTCTTTTCATGGGTAGAGGTATATACAGGCAAAAGGAGAATATCTTTTTCAATGCGGATCTAGAGTATTTCAAGCAGTTCTCAGTAGAGCAGTTAAGAAGGCTGGGATTTGCTATGAGTGAACCATATGGAAACATGGTTGAGCTACAAGACCCTTTGGTCAAAATAAAGGAGGGTTACAGAAGAACTACCAACTATTCCGATATTTGTAGAGTTAATTCTCAATATGAGTGACTAGGTGGTTTACGAATCTTATCTTGAAAGATATTATATGTTTAGATCTAAATAGCTGTCTAAGTTTTAATAGAGGCAAAAAGTCTGATAACATCAACGACGGATTTTATTAGTTTTCCTAGCTCTGAATCATTAATGATGAAAGGTGGCATCATATAAACAAGCTTTCCAAAAGGTCTTACCCAAACTCCTCTTTGAACAAATTGCTCTTGAAACCATTTTGCATCAACCATAACCGTTAATTCGATTACACCAATAGCTCCAATAATCCTTACATCTCTAACAATGTCAAGATCTCGCAATGCGGGCAATGCAGATTTGAATGAAGACTCTATAGCTTGTACTTGAGTTTTCCAACTACCCCTTTTGATAAGTTCTAAACTTTTCAATGCAATGCTGCAAGCAAGAGGATTGCCCATAAAGGTTGGGCCATGCATAAAGCCCTTTGCACGACCAGAGCAAACAAGCCCTGCAACTTCTTTTGTACAAAGCACCGCACTCAATGTCAAATATCCTCCAGTTAATGCTTTTCCAACACATAGAATATCAGGGGTGATGTCAGCATGTTCATAAGCAAAAAGCTTTCCTGTCCTACCGAAACCTGTTGCAATTTCATCGAGGATTAGCAACACCTCATATTTGGTACACAATTGACGAATTTGTTTTAAGTATTCTGGGTGATATATTCTCATACCACCAGCACCTTGTACAATAGGCTCAATAATTACTGCAATAACCTCATGGTGGTGTTTTTCAATAGCTTTTGCAAACGAGGCAATGTACTTTTCATCCCATGCGTCACCAAACCGGCATTTCGGAGGTTTGACAAATATATTTTCTCTCACGTAACCAGAATATAAGCTATGCATTGAATTAACAGGGTCACATACCGACATGGCACCAAAGGTATCACCGTGGTACCCATAATTTACTGTCATGAATTTCTTTTTCTGACATGCTTCATCAAGGCCGAATCTGGTGTCACAATACTGGAATGCCATTTTCATACTCACCTCAACTGCAACCGATCCAGAATCCGCAAGGAAGCAGTGCTCTAGCTCCGGTGGTGTCATATCAATTAGTGTTTTAACCAATTCAATTGCTGGCTGATGCGTTAATCCTCCAAACATAATATGTGACATTTTCTGCAATTGGCATACGGCGGCCTCGTTTAGTTCTGGGTGGTTGTATCCATGAATTGCAGCCCACCAAGAACTCATTCCATCAATCAAGGTTTCGCCTGTGGCAAGATTTATTTTTACACCGTGTGCTGAATCAACCAGATAACATGGCAATGGATTAATAGTAGAGGTGTAAGGATGCCAGACATGCTCCCTATCATATTTCAATAATGATTCAACTTTTTGCATTGTTCGTTGTTAAAAAATTCAACAAAATATTGAACTTACTGTGATCATTGTGATAATTAATAAAGAAATATTTTTTTATTCAAATTTCAGCATTATCTAGCCTTTATATAGTTTATTGAATGTTTCCCATGCCAGTTTTTTTTTGTTGATAGAAATTGGCGATGATTCCTAATGATTCATAATTCAGCATTTTTTTCGAGCGTGAGATATTTTTGGTTTTGAATCATTGTATCACTTTGAATCACCGAGAATGAGCAGAGCTACTTTCTAGAGCAGATAAATTTGCTTAATTACTCCATTTTATTTGTATCAGCTTATAATTTTAATTGCTTTACCTAAGTTTCAACTGCTAAATAGTCCGTTTCTATTAGCAAGTAAAATGACACCAAGAGTTTTTGTAGCAGGAACAGATACAGATATCGGAAAGACCTTCATCTCTGCACTAACAGTCAAAAAATGGGAGTTCGATTATTGGAAACCAATACAAACCGGTTTAAGCGAAGATCAAGGAGACACAAAAACTGTTAAACAACTACTTCGTGAAAGCGGAGGTATTCCAAGAACAAGCAACATTTTTGAGCCAACTTTGACCTACATGAAACCCTTAAGTCCATGGAGGTGTACTGTTTTAGAAAAGCAGAGCAGCATTAATGTGGAGAGTATAGAAATACCTGTTTCTGAGAATGAAAGGGCACTGAATGGTATGATCATTGAAGGAGCTGGTGGTTTATTAGTTCCTATTAGCAAAAATAGCTTTACTACAGATTTGATAAGAAAGTTAGATGCATCCGTTATTTTAGTTGCAAGATCGGAGCTTGGTACGTTGAACCATACACTGATGTCTCTAGAGATCTTGAAACAAAACAAGATTCCAGTTATCGGTGTGATCCTCAACGGTGCTTTGAACGGAGACAATGCAGCGGCACTATCTGAGTTGGGAGTCAGGATAATTGCACAAGTGCCAATCGTGAAGTCATTGGATGAAGCAATTGATTACATCCCTACAATTGATCTGTTGACTCAGGCTTAACGCCATCATAGATGTGCCTAAGTCGATATTTTCTGCGATAGCAACGGTAAGCTAAATTTCAGTCCTTGCTATATCTCATGGTATCGATCGATCTTCGCTTACTTTATGTAAATCTGACTTTTGTAAAGGTATATCCAATATGAATTAGCTCCACCCATTATTGTTTGTCACACGTGTACCATAAGGTTTTGTAGCAGCCGAAAAACAGGCTATGTAAATCAAACTATCACTATCTTGAGCTCAAATCCTTTTCTGCAACAAAAACTTTTGTCATAGGTTGAAGAACTTCTCCTTGCTCTCTTCCTCAAATTTCTTGGCACATTGTATCATTCTAGTTACAAAGCGCAACTCTGCGCGTATTGAACAAGTCAATGTATTTTGTAGGTTCGTTTTACCGATAGTATTATCAAAACAGAACTTTAGTATTCTCCAGCCATCTTCAAAATCTTTCACTTTTCACAATTTTTTTAAAAAATCTAGACAAACCGGAAACTTTTTCAGATTACATAAGCAATTTATTACCTTGGGAGAAAAAGTGGGGCGCAGCAAAAAATATCCTGTTTGGTCTGATACAATGGAATATTTTTTGCTGTCATCTACCTTGAGGCGGGGTGACCAATTCAATAGCTGTGGTCTGATTTGACGTTTTCGCTAACAGCCGATGCGGGCCCATAAACTTTTTTACGACGGTTTTTGGCTTCATTGCTGTCACACGTGTCACTGCTGTCATGTTTGCTGATGTTGGATTATGATGCTTCGGCAATTTGATTGAATTTTCCGATGATGGTCCCATGTGCCTGGTCTCTATAAAATGCGTTCATAAACTTCCTTTGAACTTTGGAGTTTCTCAGTGGTTAAGTTTGACGTTGTTCTAGTCGAAACGTAATCCCTTAAGCAAAAGAATTTAATATTGGTAACTACAATGGCTTCAAAACAAATCTTCAAAATAGTTCCGTTAACCCCCTCCGAGATAAGCTTTTTACAAAGCTTGGCTCCGGCTGTCAAAGAGGTGGGCGTCAAAGTCACATCTACAATGTATCAGTACATGTTCCAAACGCACCCCGAAGTGAAATCGTACTTCAACATGACTAACCAACGTACTGGCAGGCAGCCTAAGGTTTTGGCATTCTCATTATACCAATACATTTTGCACTTGAATGATCTTACGCCAATTAATGGGTTTGTCAAACAGATTGTTATAAAGCACTGTGGGCTAGGTATTGCTCCAGAACAATACCCAGTCGTAGGCAGCTGTCTTGTTCACGCGTTTAAGGAAGTACTGGGTCCAGAAGCGGCAGACGAGCATTTTGTTAACGTTTTAACCAAAGCATACGGAAACTTAGCACAGACTTTGATCGATGCCGAAGAGAGCGTTTACCAAGGTTTACAGTGGAGAGGTTGCAAAGACTTCAAAGTTGTTAAACTAGAGAAGGAGGCTGCAGATGTCACTTCGGTCTATCTGACTCCTGTCGATGGTACCAAATTATTACCTATTATTCCAGGCCAATATATATCGCTAAATTGGGATGTGCAAGATGAAACAGTCCAACCACGTGAATACTCTATTTCCCACAATTTGATTAATAATGAGTATAGAATATCTGTCCGGAAGTTAGTGAATGGTAAAGTGTCAACGTTTGTGAATACTAAACTTCAAGTTGGGGATGTTGTGCCCGTGCATGCACCTATCGGTAATATGACTTACGACGCTACATCAGGCAAGCCCAAAATTGCAGTCTTAGCTGGTGGAATTGGTATCACTCCAATGATTACTATTATGCAAGCTGCTTTAAAAAATGGCCAATCTGTGGAATTGTTTTACTCCAATAGAACGGTAGATTCCGAGCCTTTCAAGAAGACGTTCGAAAACTGGAGATCTGAATATCCCGATACCTTCAAGTTGAAAAACTACATTTCTGGTAACGGAAAAAAGTTGACTATTTCTGAATTGGAGCACATAGTGCCATCTGAGTATGATGTTTACTTGTTAGGTCCTGTCGGATACATGCACGAGTTCAAGACATACTTGACAAACAAAGGTGTTTCTGATGTGAAAATGGAGTTTTTTGGTCCAACAGACCCTGATGTATAAAACCAAGGAAGCTGACTGTAGATAATTTGTCTATGCATTAGACAACTTGTAAATATACTGAGCCTTTATAGCCTAATTTTATTATTTTCTTAAAGCTAGTTTGGACGGCTTGTCGAGCAAGGCCATGAGTATCGGTGTTTTTTTTGGTGCTTGGGCATCATGCACTGACATGTACTATCTCTACTTCACATGGAAGAGTTGCAATATTTTTGAGCCTGAATTTTCTCTCACGATTGCCAGCGAGTACACCTTTACGTTGTATGTAAACGTAGAACAACGCAGGCGTATTATATAAATTTGGACTTTCTTTGGTTTGACCTAGAATCATTATTCAATTATATCTAAACTTTTACCAAACGTAGATATCCACAGAAGGGTCGAGATGGAACATTTTTTATATTATCTGAGCCAATAAAGTGTTTGATCGTGTGGGAAGTCCGCCATAAGCAGTGGAGGAAGGAGGAAACCAAAATTAACTGTGAAATTAATATACAGTCTTATTTAAACGGTTCACAAGTTGGGAGTTATACATACAATTTTTTTTGGATTTTATTCGATGGCCTCTCTCTGGCAAACAGTGTCCTGTAATAAACTTTCATTCAAAAGCAAGAGGCTAAATTAAAAACCGGCTTAATGCTAATCGGAAGCCCATGGGTGTCAGCATCGCCGATATAGAGAACCTAAAAAAAGAAGAAATGCAAGGCCTTTACCCTTTTCAATATAACAAGAATAGCCAAGCCGAGTATAGGGCTATGAAGTGTTAAAACCATGATCCTCAGACTCATTCATGCTTTGTTTCAGAGAATATAGGATGCTTGGCTACAACACTGACATAATTTTCAATGTTTTTATAATTGCTGAAGTCAACTTTAAAGTGTTGGAGCATTCTGAAGTAGCTCCGTGCGAAAATGTCGCAAACTAAAATCGTATCACCTACTAAAAACTTGAAGTCTGATAATCTGTTATCAATATATTCGAGATTTTTATTCATGGTTTCAACAGCAGAAGCTTTCTCTTCTTCAGTTTTGGCAAAGTAAATAGAGCCAACATGATTGACCATGTCAGAAGTTAAATATGAATACCATCTCCAATTGTTTGCCTGCTCTTGAACCGTCTTGCCAGCAATTTCTGGTTTCGAAGAGCTGTTGACGATATAGAAAGCAATGGCCAATGATTCGGTCAATTTGAATCCATCCGATGAGATAAATGCAGGGGTCCTTTTCAATGGAAATGACTCGGGAAATTCTGTAGAATCAGCTGCTACCTTTCCCTCGATTGTTAGACCTAGATAGTCGCCCAACGCCACAAGCCAATTGCTTCTGGCATAATCAGGGTGATAATAAAGTGTTCCGAATGTCATCGAAGTGTTGCCTTTAGTAGTCCAGGTTTGTTTACAAAGCCTCTATATATAGTTTAAGAAAGTAGGTTTTGCCTTTAGAAGGAAGGATAGTGGCAATAAAATTGAAGACGATTAATAATCAACACCAACCCCTGCCCGTAAACAATAATTTTCGGCCTGGTGCCAATTGCAGCATGTCGGAGATCCGAGAAAAACAGCCTCGCTGTATCTTGTGAATATTGTTCTTTTTTCTGTAATTCTTTTTGTGGGGAAATCCTGGAAAGGATGCACAGAATAGACCGTTTCCTGTTTGCAGGTGAGCACGCATGGATAGTTAGCTTATTCTTATGCATCTCAGTACATAGAAATGTGACCCAACAAACATACCTTTGATTAGCTAAAACTGTTTTCCCATATTGAAAAGTGTACTACTCTAAGTCATACTAAGACCAATACCCACTGCTCTCAATTATTATTCCCATTTAGATTTGTATAGATGTTAAAATGGCTAAAGGTAGACAAACCAAGCCCAAGCCAGTAAAACACCAGTCATCTCATCTTGCAAATCAATATATATATTATGACTGAACTTATAGCTGCTGCAAAATTCCTACCTGCTTTACCCACGAAAGTTTGCCGGCCGCTTACCGAATAATTTTAAGAAATAGGTAAAATTGCGGTTTGCAATGGAGGTTGAACAAATACTGGATAAATAAACAACTACAAACAGGGATAGCGTGTTTTTTCTCTCTAACTTACCACCCATAACCAACCAACCGAATCATCAACAATAGCGTGCCAACTAGTTGAAAAGTAAACCTAACTTCCTTTTCTCTTTATTGTGTTGATTCTAAATGTTCAGAATGCATTTTTGCCAAAGGTCCTGATATTATTAATATTCCAGGACAGTGATATGACAAAGATGATTTCCATAGATTAAATCCATTGGCTACGAGACGCCTCCCACGGTAGTAGGAATAGCATAGAAGGATGAAAGGTCAAGCTTCCTGTTATTGTACACAAAGCAAAGAAACAAGGTCCCAATGAACCAAAGAAATTGACATTAGGTAGAAAAGCGTAATCTTTTCAGGTCGAAATTGCTGTAAAGTGGGGGTCATCCACTATAAAAGTAGTTTTATGACAATTTTTTATGGAAAAATCGATGCTCCGAACTTACAATAATCAAGTTCTCGTAAGTATTAGTAGCGCTTTATAAATTTGGCGATTTCCTCGAAATCATGCATACACAACTCTATCCCTATTTGAGTAGTATTAAGGTAAATTGTATGTATACTCTTTTATCCCGATGCTGCCTTTAGCAAGTAATAATTTTATTGCCCAGCTGCTAATATTAGGAGAGGAAATGTAGGTAGCCGATTTTCAGTAGATACTCGAGTCATGTCTACTTATTTTTTGAAGTTGCAATTTTGTTCAATGCTCAAGTTGATCTATTTTTCCTCATCTACCATTTTTCAAGCTTACTAAAATGCCATACAGTTGGCATTGAAATATTTTATGGCCTTTATGTGCTTTGTGATGAGATTACACAGTTGAAAGAGATAAAATCATTCTAGCGCCTATTAGCTGTGAAGATAGATAGTAAAACTATCAAGAGTTTCACAATAGTCTCATCACTGTATCAAAGTCCATACTTTGGGCTTGGTTTTCATAACCAAAAATGGCTCTAGCTCGATGAAGTTAGAAATTTACTTTATACTGACACTGGCGACCAACCTATTCTAGTGCTATGTCTACGTAAAAATTTTAGGCTGCTTAGCAAAAATTTATACAAATCTTTTTTCTGGTTCAGGGCTGATTTACTATTCCAGTCATAATGTCAGAATGATGTGTTAATTTAATTCTTTCGATGGGAAAGCTTTTTATTTGTCGTTTATCTGCTTTTCATGAGATTTAGAGTCCGTTAAATAGGTCTCGCAAAACGTGTTTGGGTGATCAAGTTAAAAATGCCTACTCATTTTTTGCTTAGCTTCGGTAATCAACATTCTGCAACCTGATTCTTCTAGATTTTTCACCACTAAAGATTAAAAGTGGGTTTCGAGTTCTTCAAATGATAGCCTTTTTCAGAACTGAACTGAACTCAGTATTATTCAGTCGTGAGGGTTGCATGTTTTTACATACAAAGCTTATAAATTTCACGCTGAAGTGATCCCATTCTGTATATCATCCCACTTCTAAATATGATTATTTCAATGAAAAGTTTCTTTTTCAAGAACCTAGAGATTTGTAGAAGCTCACTTTGAAGGTTCTAGAGTTTCCCTGTGGAAACCACTACTGTGGATTTATGTGAGATCTTCTTTCCAAAATTTTATAAATCTCGCAAATTTAGCTGGTACTCGCAACCACAAAGGTTATCACAGAGATTGTATGTGTTCCTGAATAACTAAGATCCATTGTTCATTAGGGTAGAGATGATGGCTTGAAAAAGATATCACTAGCCAATAAAAAAGGTCTATTACTAATTGAACACCCTGTAGGTTCTACAGTAAAAAAAATGCCAATTATCTCTTCAGTACATTATCATTTGACCTAATCGGAGGGTTTGGTATACTTTTTGGAGAGGATATTAGGAGAGTAGGGCTTGATATATAATAAGTAAGGCTAAGCAGCATTTTGAAGAAGAAAGGCTATGGAATCTGACACTTATCCTGCGACTTTAACTAATAGTTTCACTCTTTTTTTGGGTTTTTTTGGACATAGAAAATATTGATAATTATGCCAGTGAAAGAGACGTTGAATAAACCAATTCCGGTTACTTTATTGTCCGGTTTCTTAGGCAGTGGTAAAACCACGCTTTTGGAAAACATTCTAAAGCAAGAACATGGTTTCCGGATTGCAGTTATAATCAATGATATTTCAAGTCTAAATATCGACGCGGAGTTGATAACGGGTCATAAGGTGGTGACTACTAAGGAGAAAGTGATCCAATTCCAAAATGGGTGCATCTGTTGTACTCTTCGAGGGGATTTGCTAGAAGAGCTAATTTCCATTGCCAAAAACGACGATTTTGATTATATCATTATTGAAAGTACCGGAATTGGTGAGCCAATGCAGGTTGCAGAGACTTTCTCACAAGAATTTTCTGCATTGATGGCTGAAACTGCTGAAAATGAAGAGGATATAAAGCTACTTAAGGACATTGTTAGTTTGGGAGGATTAAATAAACTCGCACGACTCGATACTTGTGTTACAGTGGTTGATGCTGTAAACTTCTCTGATGATATTGAGACCACTGACTATTTGGCCGATAGATGGGGTTCGAAAAATAATTCAATGAATGAAGAGGACAGAACTGTTACAGATTTGCTAGTCGATCAAATTGAATTTGCCGATGTCATTGTAATCAACAAAGCTAGTGGAGTATCTAAGAGGCTCCTAAAGAAAGTCAAAAAGATTGTTAAGACCTTGAATCCTGTTGCTCGTATTATTACCACGGATTATTCGAAAGTTACTAACAATCAGGTCCTTGATACAAAGTTGTTCAACTTTGCGAAAGCAATTACTTCTTCTGGTTGGTTAAGAAGTTTGGATGAATCTAATGCAAGAGTAGGATATGGTGATGACTTAAGCAAAGAGAGAATGACTCCTAAACCAGAGACCGAAGAGTATGGTATTAATAATTTTGTGTACAGAGCTCGCAAGCCATTTCACCCAAAAAGGTTATACGATATGCTTTGTGATAAGTTTCAGATTATTGAAAGGGTTTCCATGCCTGAGGAAGAAGGTGGAGAAAATGATAATGGGGATGAAGGAATTAATGACGATTCAGATAAAGGGGGAGAAGAAGAAGAAGAAGAAGAAGAAGAAGAGGACGATGAGGATGAGGACGAAGGCGAAGAATTAACCAAAGAAGAAATGTTAGATAACAAGAGAAAGTCACCATTTGGAACTGTTGTTAGATCTAAGGGTTTCTTTTGGTTGGCAACCAGATACATATTACGGGGAGAATGGAGCTCTGCTGGATCTATGCTTACACTGAATGCCGGTCCACCATGGTTCGGCGCCACCGCCAAAGAGTTCTGGCCTGAAGACAAAGAAACCGTAGAATCGATCCGAAAAGATTTCCAAGGTGTTCATGAGGACAGAAGACAGGAAATTGTTCTGATTGGATTCAAGATCAAGCCAAGTAGATTACAGAAGATGCTTGATAGCTGCTTGCTAACAGACAAGGAATTTGAAGAGTACAACAAAGTTGCCACAAAGAGAGACTTAGTGTTGATCGAGAAGAATTTGGCAGGCATGTATGAAGATGGATTTGAAGATTGGGATTTCATCCAAGAGCCAGATGAACACAATGACCACTGAAATTCATTAAGAACCTGTACATTTTCTGTATATATAGCTCTCCACGTTTAGGTCTGTAACTTACAAGGGTTAAAAGTCTCTATTGGGGTAAAAATCGTATGACTTCGTAGAACCTCCAATACATATTCTTAACACAATACTCCCGTCTAATAAGATTGTCGGAAACTATCTCAGTTTGCCGTTCGAAGAGTGTGGTTGTCAGCTGAACCATTGAGCTGGGGTAAAATTACGTGAAAGAGTGGAGAAGATTCACATTGCAGCTGTGAATTGTGGCATCTGCTTAAACAATGTAGTCCGCGCTGGGCTCTCCTTATCTTTTTTTCTCGTTTGTATCCTAACCTTTAGCCGTGCTCCTCTGTGGATTGTGAAATCCAGCTAAAGCCATCGTTATTGTCGGGATTGCCATTCCCGTCTGCAGTTTCGGCACCAAACCTTGTTAGATGCATATCTTGTATCCGGGCTGCCGTAACCAAACGGTTAAACACGGCCTAGCTCCCCTGTGGCTTGTGGATAATGGGTAGGTAGTTTCTCTTTTTTGCGGTACTAACCATCCATATTGAAATTAATGTGTTTCTTGCCTTCGGCAAAAGTCTGCTGTAAGAAATTGTCTAAAGAATGGCTTCTTGTAGCTGTAAATTAACAGATGTAATAGTGGAAAAGTTGAGCTAATATTTTAAAGATCAAAAATCTCTTCTCTCATTTTTTACTTTGTTCTTACTATCAATACTCCAACAGTATCAGTATTAAACGGTGAAATTGTGCAGATTTTTCAAATCTATCAGACATTTGATGACGGCCGAAACAGGGAAAGCAATTGACGAGAACTACGGTAGGTCGGTGAATTTGGCCGACAACACTGATGTCGATTCTACTTTTTCTAAGGATAACATCGGTACCGAAAACGTTATCACTCATGTTACATCGATCGATGGTAAACTGATTGACATCACAGGTGACGTAGATGAAGCAATGGAGTATGCAATTGAAGCAGAGGCTGAAGATGTGGAGCTTACGCAGGAAGAGGAGAATAAACTTGTATGGAAAATAGATTTTTATCTACTACCTCTAATCTGCCTATTATATGCTGTCCAGTTTATGGACAAGGTATCAACGGGATATGCTGCTATCATGGGTTTACAAAATTATTATCACATGCATGGGAACCAATATTCTTGGTGTGGTTCAGCCTTTTACTTGGGCTATTTAATCTTTGAATTCCCAATGAGTATCGCATTGCAAAGATTTCCCGTTGCAAAATTTGTCTCTGTCACTATTATTTTGTGGGGCTTGATCATCTGTCTACATGCAACCCCTGCAAATTATGCTGGCTTCGTTACCTTGAGAACCATTTTAGGTGTTTTAGAATCTGCTGTTACTCCTGCAATGGTCATTATCACTGGTCAGTGGTACAAGGCTGATGAACAATTTTTGAGAACAGCAATTTGGTTTTCGTCAAATGGTTTGGGCACCATCATTGGCAGTTCAATTGCATATGGCCTAGCAATAAGACCACACTCATACACGTTGGAATCGTGGAAGGTGTTGTTTATTGTTATAGGATGCATCACCATTGCTGTTGGTTTTATGATTTTGATCCACATTCCAGATCTACCTGTCAAAGCTTGGTTTTTGAATGCCAAGCAAAGAAAACAAGTTGTGCTTAGAATCAAAAGCAATCAACAAGGGTTTGGAAACAGACATTTCAAATGGCATCAGTTCAAGGAAGCAATCATGGACATCAACACATGGATTTTCTTTTTCTTCTCAGTCGCCTTTCAAATTCCCAATGGTGCTCTAACAAATTTTGGCTCACTTCTTTTGAAGGGTGTTTTTGGATACTCTTCAACTCACACCCTATTGATGAATCTTATTGCTGGTGGTGTTGAGCTAGGTGGGTGTATTTTGTTTGCCTGGCTTAATAAATTTATTAACCACAAAATGGGTATGGCCACGTTCATTGTTGGACTTTCTCTAGTTTCATCTTGTATGCTTGCATTCCCTTTACAAAGTCCCCACGCCAGACTAGCTGGCTATTACCTTTACAACTTATGTCCCATTGGAATGATTTGTTGCTTATCGTGTTTCACATCTAATGTTGCTGGCCACACTAAAAAGCTCACAGTCAATGCGCTATATCTTATTGGATATTCTGTGGGTAACTTAATTGGTCCACAAACTTTCATCTCTTCTCAAGCTCCTAAATACAGAGGAGGTCAAGTTGCCATGGTTGTTTGCCTTGCTGTGTCTCTAATTTTAATTGCATGGGTGTATTATAATTACTGGAGTGAAAACAGAAGAAGGGATAAACTGCAAGCCGAAGGTAAGCTTCAAATCCCTCATTTTGAAAATTATGAATTCGCTGATTTGACCGATAAAGAAAACGTCTTATTTAGGTACACATTGTAACGATTTTCGGTCATGGTTTAATCTTATTTAATACCACCTAAAAACAAAACCTAGATTACCTTGGGCAGAGATATTTTTAGCCTGTCTGACATTGGATTGCAAGAACAGCTGTAGCTTTCACTCAAATTCTCAAAACGTTACTAGTATCTGAGAGATATTATACGGAAATGAGATTATCTAAGGGAATAAAATTATAATCCTCTCTTAAGTTGAGTAAAGCAATACTGTATTAAGATTATTATTAAATTAAGAAGTCTATTAAAAAGCTGTATATTTCCAATCGTGAATGGGATTGAAAGATCAGATTGGAGTCAAATATATTCAGGAGCGATTGACCTCATCAATCTCCTCAGCACCATGTGCATTTTCGATCTCGTTGTGGTCATCAGACACCAGGATGATACCATTCTTTGCTGCATTTTGTCTTTCTTGACGTTTGTAATAATAGAGAACAACAAAGGTCCAAACACTCAAACTGAATGCACTGCATGCAGTGAAAGTAAAACCCTTCAAGTAGCGTGGAGCTTCGACAGTTTTCCAAACCAAGACTGAGATCCATGCCACAGAAGTCTGTGCCATAATGTTCATAATGACCAAGATGATGGCCCTATATTGTGGATCTTCACGACAGATATCATTCATCCACGAGTATAAGACCGGGGCCATTGCCCAACCAGTGTATTGAAGAATAAATGCAAACCATTTTGCACCTTCTGGGACATACCAAACAGCTAAGATGACATTTCCAATGATATTAAGAACCTGGGACCAAATGATGGCTTGCCAACGTGAGTGGAACAAATCAGCGTAGCAACCAGTGAGGATCAACCAGAGGATACCCACAGCAGGAGTTGCTGCACTCAATTGATTGACCTTCCCAACACTATATCTCTTCAAAGACTTCAACCAAAGCAAGTATGCACCAGAGGTACCGTTGTTGTTATTCCAACAGAAGATGTTCCAGAGCGTCAGGACGTATACGTGCCACGAGGTAAACACTTTCTTCCAAAGCTTCTTGTCAAAGAAGGATCTTTGTTCGGTGACATCAATTGCAGTGTTGTTCTTGTTCAATCTCTTTCTAGCAAGCAGGATTTCTTCATCAGTCAAGAAGATGGAGTAACATTGCTTTGGAGTGCCCGGGATGGCATAGAAACCGATGATACCCACAGCAAAGGAGATAATAGCGTCGATAATGAACATCCAACGCCAACCTTCGAGACCATTGACCATGTTCAAGGAGTTGTAGATAGATGCTTGCAATAAGCCAGATGTTAAAACACCAAGATACTGGCCGATGTAGTAAACCATGGAACGACGGGTGATCTCGTCCACCTTGTACCAACTTCCAAAAAGATACTGATATGCCAAGTAGCCTGGGGCTTCAAAAACACCGACAAAGAATCTCATTGCCTGTAAATGTGGGACGTTTGTTGCCTTGTAGGAACCAAGAGTGAAACAACTCCAGCAGATATCCAGAATTGGCAAAACGTAACTGAGAGGAACCTTGTATAGGATGTACATGAATGGAATTTGGAAAACAATGGCACCGACCGTGAAGACGGCCTGGGTGTGGACAAGGTCGTTACCCTTCATGTCGATACTTTCCTTGAGACCACTGACGTAGGCGTTGTTAAGGTTGGTCTGGTCCAAGTACTTCACCCAATATGCCATCATGGAGTAGAAGCACAACAACACGTCGAGCTTCAAAATCAACTTCTTCTCTGCAGGAGTGTCGTTCTCGTTGAACCAATGGTACCACTTGTGCGTGCTTCTGACCTTCTTTGATTGACGGAACTCGTATTCGTCAAAGAAGTGGTACCATTTTCTGTCACTGCTTCTTCTGTACTCGATGGTATCCGAAGGACTACTCTCCAATGACTCCGTCTGCGAGGCAAACGACTCCGAGTCTTTCTCCTTGCTGTAGACAACGTGTGTGGATCTGTCTTCTGATCCTTGTGGCTCTTCCACCACCCTTTCGACGGGAAAGATGCCCCACTTGAGTCTTGACCAGGGAGTGAGAACACAGGACATGTTGTGTTACTGCTTGTTGTATACCTCCAATATCTAGTCTGAGATGCCAAACCGTCCGCCACCAGCGCAACCACCCATCCTGGTAGCCCCTCCCGGTCTTTTGCATCGGGACTGGATTCTCCGTCTCTTTTTAAGCAAGTGAAAAGTTCATCTGAAAAAATGTGTCAGAAAAGGAAATTTTCCCCAGGGCGGTTAAAAAGAAAAACCCGCTAGGCCCTTGCAAAAGCCAACTGTGGCGGTAGCCTCCGGTTCCGGCCCGCCGGCCAGCGTGTAATCCCGGTGCAAAATTGCCTGCTTTCACGTGCCAAGTGTCGTTTTCGACCCAGCCAGAAAGCCGGGGAAGGCCGGCTGCTGCTACGTTCCGACGGCAGATGCCAGCGACGCGTCGGACGTGTCGCCCGTCTGAGCCGGTTTAGGCCGATCTGTGGCTCGACGCCCGGTGCCGGTGGAAAAGCCCCACTATGGCTGCCGCGGCGGAATAAAACCGTCGGAGTTGCTACATGGAGGTAGGACATAGAAAAATAGGCATGTTTTTTATAGAGACAAACAACCGAAAGAGTAGTGTTTCAGAAGGCATTCGGCAGATTAGATAAAGGAAGGTGGCGTGTCCGATTGTGTCAATGCTTATCTCAGTAGATGTAGCGGAAAGTGGTGTTCTCACGGTCGGTGAGGTCCATGGCTAGGACGTCCCGGGCTCCATGAACGCCGTAGAGCTTGTCCCGGCGTCTATTCTCACGTAGAACCACAGCTCTTAGTAGCACGGAGAGGCAAAAGGCGCCTGCGAGAAATACGAGAAGCACGATCTTGGCCGGCGTGTATGCGGGAGCGTCTTTTGCCTGAAACAGCTGTGGGCCGATGAGGTTCCCTATACAGAAGGCCATGAGGGTCATGGCATTTTTCGCTGTTCTCTTGGTGTGGCCGGAGGTGTTTGAGGCATTCCAGGCGTAGGCTAGTGCTACTACGGCACCGTTGGAGCCGAGGAGGTAAACACCGAAAAGCTTGCCGACTCGGTACTGCTCGCCCAAGGCCATGAAGAGAGCGGCGCCGAGAATCGAGGGAGCAGTGACAAACGCGAGCATGAGCGCATACTCGCCGGTGAAGCTGGTGACCCAGCAGCACAGCACGGCGGACACAATTGACACAAACCCGATGGGTATCTGGATGATAGCAGAGATCTCGTTGGAAAAGCCAAAAGTCTTGATGATTTGCGAAGAGAACACGTTGAGTCCTCCCCCGTCGGTCAACGAGAACACAACAATGAGGAACATAATCCACGTCTCCACCTCGCACAACATCTCCTTCACCTGGTAGAACTTGTACGTTCTGTTCTCCAGTCCGATGTTGTTGCCGCGGATGTGGTCGAGCACTATCGCCTTTTCTGCTTCCGACAAGTATTTGCACGAGAGCGGGTTGTCCGGAAGAAAGATTATTGTAAGCACGCCAACAATGAAGGTGATAATGCCCATGAAAATGAACATTATCTGCCAGCTGGCGATCGATGTGGAGTGAACGTGCTGGAACCCAAAGGAGAGAAGAGAGCCGACTATCTGGGCAACACCGATCTGCATGAACCACACACAGGTCCGCCTCGACTGTTCAGGTTTGGTCCACCACATCCCCATAATGATTATTAGACAGCATGCAACGGAGGCCTCAAAGATCCCCAAAAGCACCCTAACAATCATCAAGCCCGCGTAAGTTTCCGTACAGGCGTGGAAGGCAACCACTGCTCCCCAACAACAGATATTGACTCCCAAATATTTGGCCACAGGCAATTTTTGTATCAAATACGCAGCAATGGGCTCTGTGGCCACAAACCCAACATAGAAAATGGTTCCCAAATTCGCAAACTGGTTCCCATGTAGGTTTTTCTTTATCCCCATGATCGCCGCGTAATTGAGCAACGACTTGTCCAAAAACTGAAGAAAGTATATGGCTATGAAGAACGGCATAATCATGAAGTCAATTTTCCATTTTAGTTTGAACGGGAGTTTGCCGGCTTCGATGGATACGTTTTCATCTAAACTGGTGGTGTCTTCAACGAGTGAAAACTTATCAGTCCCATCATCAGCAGCATTTGCTGGCTTTTCCATGGTGGTGCCCTCTCAAGGTCTTCTGTTTGCTCTTTCACAGCAAGCACAACAGCCTTCTAGGCTTCTTCCAATTGTTCTTCCAACTCTTATGTCTAGTGGTTAAAAAAACGCACGAAAGCCGTTTGACTTGAAACGATCAGCAGACGATGATTCAATGACTTCGGAAAATGACTCCGGAACAGATCTAAGAGTCATCGACGCGTCGATTGCTACGGAGCTGTGGCATAACAATATTGCGGCCTTGTTGTAGCGGCGGTGGAGAAATAAACAAATAGATAACAAATCCTCCAGTTGCGGTCCTAAGGAAGCACACAACCTGGGGTGTGAAGGGGAATCTTTTACAACACCCCCACCCATAATAAAGCATACTGAGTGATAGAAAAAGATGTCGAAACGCTTGCGTACTGCTGAGCAGGAAAAAAGAGATCAAATAGTTAGAAATAGGAAGATATACTCTTGCCAACGCTGCTTCAAGGCTAAAAGAAAGTGCGATAAGACCAGACCTTCTTGTTTGAGGTGTTCCCGAGCACGAACAAGCTGTGAATACTTTACGAAAAAACAAATCGATGAACGGTTTCATGTCCGACAAGGTGCTCCGGTATCTGTAACCGAAGACACAGATAGTTCAAGCACAGAATTACTCAGTCGAAGCGAAAGCAATAGCGGTTCAACATTGCAGAATGTTTTAAATACTGAGATCAATCCTAGGTTGAGCCAAAAGGAAAACCAGAACTTTACCATTATTGTAAGCTCAACAGGGGAGTACTCGAAATTCTTTCCTACGTGCTTTTTCTCTTACTATGAACATGCAGGGAATGTATCGATGGTTTTAAATCTGAACAGTTTGAAAAATAAGGCGTTGGCAACTTTCGACTTCTCCAAAATCATCTACCCAATGCATTCGCTAAAAGAAATCAAATCAAAAGTACCTTCTCGTGAAATTTCCGACTTATTGATTGATCATTTTATGAACTATATTGCTCCCTTCGTCCCTATTGTTGACCCACAAGAGTTTCTTTATGAATATGAAAAGTTCTGGGAAGATAGTCAAAATTTTGAAGACAAAAATTTTCTAGTGGTAATGTTTGCAATATATTTTTGCAGTTGCACAAACATCGCTTTGCTTAAGGCTCTCAAGGATAAAAAGGATTGCCTGAAAAACGAAAGCTTAAAAAACCTAGATTGTGAAAATTTGAGAACCTCAAGTTTCGAGTGTATTGAGAATTTGAGAAGGATGTTGAACTCAGACACAACCCCTTCCATGTCAATTATAATAAGCTTAACACTTTTGTACTATGTTGGTTCGGCTAACGGGTATTCTGTCTCTGTCCAAATCACTAATTTGGTCAAATATGCCCAGATATTTGGTTTGCATAGAAATTTAACGACAGACTCAAATGAATTGCCAATGAGGAGTATAGTCTACAGATTTGTGTGGTATTTAGATGGCTTAGGAGCTTACTATTCAGGATTTCCGCCCAACATGCACCCCGAGTTTTTTGAATGCGATGAAATTTACAATCTGCCTTCAAATGATATCCACATTCTTTTTTTATCAGGTAGGTTGTGCAATACTATGGTATGGAACAAGCTACTTTTCGAGTTCAACAAAATCAAAAAATCTGAGTTTGACGAGTTTGAGGAAATAGAAACTCTCTATTTCAACTCAATTGCAATTGTCAACGCAATCAATAAAAAAATCATGGAGAGCGAAGACAAAGATTTGAAATACAAAAAATGGTTGGTTACTGAAACACGGTTGGGATTGCATAAGTCGATGTTGTTGGTAAGTGCTTTGAAATACTCAATGAAGTATAAGGAATACGATAATTACAACAGAAACATTACAACAGATTTGGTTTTACAATCAATGTTATTAATAAATGAATCGATATTTAAAGTCAAACTTGGTATGGCTGTGATGCCCGAATCGATTTGGTTTTACAGGTTTGCAATACCATTCCAAGCGATGTATATTGTGATTTCTCATATTCAAAAATACCCGGATCAACATTTGAACTTTTCAACATTAGATAAAGAGCACGAATATACGGTAGACGAGGAAGAGCTTGAATTGAACCATAATATAGGCGATTTGAGAGTTGGTCTTATAGACTCATCAATAGAGTCGTTGTCCTTCTTGACAACATTTTGGCATTCGTCGAAGGTCGAGAGATTCGAGAGGTTGACTAAATTCAGAGACTTTGTATGGGAAAGAAGAAGAGAAACTGAATCACAGAAAGTTTTTGCACAGGAGGAAAACTATGATTCTAATGATAGGACCCCACTAGATGATGATACAGTTTACGATGATGAAAATGAAATTAGCAACAGACTCGCCAAAGGGCTTAATGGTTACAACACGTATTTAGGTACGGGTTTGGACAACTCAAATGTTTTTGAAAACGATGATTATTATGATGCATATGCTTTTCTTGACGATGGTTCAAAGTTCTGGTTTGGGAGGGAGTATTAATTTTGCTGTTTATCTTTTTACTATTACGGACGGGTTTGAACATACGACTTGCGGGTATTGACAGATTTGTCTCCGCTTATCGGCTGCGGCTACTACATTTTTCGCGGAAATACATCGCCGTTGTCTTACTAAGGATTCCACTCCTTCTGTTTCATCGATAAGCTTCGAGCGTTGTTTTGAAGATGTCGTGCCCCATTTACAGCAGTGTAAACAATCTTGATACGGAAAATTATGCGCATGTATAGATAAGCATTCAACATTTCATATGACTTTATTTAATAGCGAAATCAAATTTCAGATTGAAACTTGATTCTTTTTTCGAATGATAATTGTGCCACCGATGCAATCATTATCCATGGGTCCCTATGACAATGACGATTTATTAAGAAGAGACCTAAAAATAGGTTTTTACTAGTAAAGGAGAAAGCAGCCCTTTTTTGTTAGTTTTCCTGATGAGAAGTCTCGGCTTTTGTGTGGTCAAAATAAAATTCAAGTCTAAAATGGTATTCTATTATAATCTATATAATTAAACAGTGTTTTAATATGCAATGTCTTCAGCATTTGTATCCTTAGGTTCTTGATTTCACACTTGAGATTTGTAAACCGTATTTGAGACCTTGACACCCCAATCCCAGTCTGGATCCTGCATGTATTCCTCCGTACCATCTTCCCGGAAGAGTCTGATCTTCTTAACGTCAGAGGTAGGCCATTCCTCGATCTGCTTTTCGAAGTTCAAAAACTTCAAGTATGGTACCAGCCATTTGTTGAGTTGAGTTCTTTCTTTCTCAGTGTAGCCTTTACGTACATTGTAGAACCAAACACTTAAGTCTGCACCATGTGGGACTTTCCAGTCCTTTTCAAGATGTTCATCCAGCCACTTTGCCCTGAAACTTATCCTGTAACGGAAGATATCCTCAGCTGGAAATCCATTTTCAACTAGCTTGTTGATCAAACCTCTAGCAGATGAATAAACTTGGCCATCACCAACTATTGCACCATACTTGATTCTCAATTTTTCCTTTAGCTCCGGCTCAGAGAGACCTTCAAAGTTTTCTGGATTGGCCTCATACAAATCCAACAACGTTGGGACAACTGAACGAGGATAGTAGTTTTCAACCTGGATGGGTAGCTCATCAATAGTGGTGGGAGTGTTGAGTAAAGAGTACTTATATCTTTCATTGTCCACTTCTCCATTCAAGATTCTAAGCTTTTTATCTTTCATCATTTGACAAAACTTTCCAGAATTCAAGTCTTCGATAATCTTAGGTGAGATAAAATGATTATCAGTCACAGCCCTAAAGGTATGTAGTGTAAGTGTAGGTATGAAATCTTCAATGAAATTAGTGTCCAATTCTCTAAGCTTCTCGAGTTTTTCATGGCTGGAAAGGGTCTTGTCAATGTTCAACTTTTCAATGATCTCATCAAACTGATCTTGGCTTTCTTCAATAGTCTTAGGCTGAATGTAGACCAAGTTGGAGAAGAAACAGCATTGCTTGATAATTTGCAAACATTCAGGATGGTACATCTCATATGCTAGCTGGAAAAAAGTAGAGTAAGAACCAGCGGAAATACCACCAACAGAAATTTTCTCAGGGTTACCTCCAAATACATTGATGTTTTTATAAGTCCACTCCATTGCCATTCTCTGATCCCAGAAACCAAAGTTCGAATTGAGTGGGTTTTCCTCTAACAACTCTTTACCTGAAAGAAAACCAAACATGTTCAATCTGTATCCGGGGACGACCAAAATGAACTTGTTCATAAACTCTTCGTCACTGAACATTTCCACAACATTGAAGTTGTCTGTGTTTGGGGTATTGTATTGCAACCATCCACCATGGATATAGATCAGAACAGGCCAGCCACCTTCGGGTTTGTATTTGTCAGAAGCCGGAATCCAAATGTTTGAATATTGAATAACCTCTTTGCTTGGTGATTTGAGGTATCTGAAATGGGGATTAGGCACTGATGGTTGTGGGCATTTCAACCCGAACTCCTTGTATTCTCCTGTATAATCATAGTCGTTCGGCAATTCTTTAGGTAAAGTGAACCTAGTAGAGCCTTCGCATGGGTAGGCGTAAGGAACTTGGGCCAATCTATGGCAAGCAGGTTTTCCTGTTTTTGGATCATTGAATGTAATTCCACTTAGCTTTCCATTTTTCGGGGTCTCCAAACTATAGGGAAGGCAGTTGTCAGTGGAAATAGTTTGTCCCATTTTAATCCAGTTTTTTGCTTGAAAGTTGCTAGATATATTCACGTTAGGCAACCGATAAGCTGCTAGATTTTGCTATAACCAAGCAAGACGGTCTCAAAAGGGCATCTTTACTAATATATATCTTATTCATATACGTCTTCGAATACTAATCCGACGGCTCGGACAAGAAATTTAGTACCTCTCGACCGCACTGCGGCTCTAACGCGCCTAGCGGTTGATAAAATGCGGGTGGGTGTATTTTTCGACCGCCGTCGCCGTTTCCGATAAGAGCTCGGAAGTTGCTGTCGGGTATGTCGAAGTTCTATTGATCGTCGTCCTGGATTAGTCAAACCATATTTGGGTTTTGCTTAGGCTTCTAAAAAACAGCCAGAGTCTTATCAGATATGATTGTTGGTATCGGTGCGTCTTATCTGTTCATTTTGACGCTGCTCTTGTGTTGGCCGATTAATTCTTAAATATAAGTACTTCCAGTCACGTCTGAAAAAATAGGAAGATCATCATCTATCCTTGGTAGAAAATTTGTTTCATATCCTCTTTGCTTGTTACTTACAGATTAACTAAGCACAACACATCGCAAAGTTTAGACCATATGACTTCTGCCTCCAGTAGCCATGAGCAGAATGCTGCCAATGAAAAGGAGAATGTGGATGTTGGAGTTTCTTCGGTAGACAACTTCACCGCTTTGGACACTGTTATTTCACCTTCTGGTAAGGTGATCCACATTGCCCATGATGACGCTCATTTGGATGAGGCTCTAGAGTTTGCAAGAGCGCATGGTCACGTTGACATTTCCCCCGAGGAAGACGCCAAGGTTCGCCGGAAGTTAGACATGATTATCATGCCTCTTTTCTGTTTCTTATACATGAACCAATTCATGGATAAAACAGGTATTTCCTTTGCTTCCATCATGGGTATCCAAAAAGATTATAAAATGGTGGGTCAGATGTACTCCTGGACGAACTCGGGTTTCTATCTTGGTTACGTTTTTGGGTCTCCATTTGCAGCAATTGTCTTGCAAAAAGTTCCAACAGTTAGATTTGTTTCTTTTACCATTATACTATGGGGCACTATTCAATGTTTGCACTGCACTCCTAAAACGTATGCTGCCTTCATGTTTTTGCGTGTCTTCCTTGGATTTCTTGAATCGTTTGTTGCTCCTATCTTTGTTATCATTTTGAACCAATACTACAGACACTCTGAACATTTTGGTCGTACTGGTGTTTTCTACGGTTTCAATGGTTTGGGAACTATTTTCTTGTCAGCAGTCTCTTCTGCTTTATATAAGCATAGTGCTTCTTACTCTATCAGCGGATACAAGATTTTATTCTTGGTCATTGGATTGATGACGATCATCAATGGTTTCCTTATTCTATTAATCATGCCAAACACTCCTACAGAAGCAAAGTTTTTAACCGAAAGAGAGAAAGAAGTTATCATTGAAAGAATTAGACACAACAATCAAGGATTTGGTAACAAGAAGTTTAAGTGGGAACAGGCTGTAGAAGTTTGTAAAGATCCAAGAACGTTGATCTACTTCTTACTTTCATTGTCTGTTGCTATTCCAAACGGTGGTATCTCTGGTTTTGGTACCATTATTTTGAAGAGTTTTGGATACACCACTTTGAAGTCTTTACTTATGAAGATGCCTGTTGGTGCTTTTGAGTTATTTGGTCTAGCTATTCTTCCAATTGTGTCTAGATTTGTGAAGTCAAGAATGGCAATTGCAATCTTTTATTTGTGTGTTGTCTTGGCAATGTGTTGTATGTTAGCATTCTCCAAGAATACCAATGCTGCATTAGTAGGTTATTGGATTTATGGTATATCACCTGTCGGTATTGTTTTGATTACATCATGTGTTACTTCGAATACTGCTGGTTTTACTAAAAAGTTACTTACCAATGCCATCACTTTGATCGGGTACTCTGCTGGTAATGTTATTGGTCCACAAACTTTCCGTTCTACAGAAGCACCACACTACAACAATGCAAAGTCTGGAGCTGTCGGTTGTTATTGTGCTGCTATATTCTTAGTTGGTGTCTTAACTGCTTACAATATTTGGGAAAACAAGAGAAGAGATAAGGCTAGAGAAGCAGAAGGAGACAAGTATGTTGTTCCTGATAACTTAGAGTTTGCCGATTTGACAGATTTCCAGAACCCAGAGTTCAGATATAGAATTTAGAGTTTGTTGATTTTTCCAAACTTTTTTGTTTTACCACTTTTTTACAATCTCCTTTTAGTAATAGAAATATGAATACCGCTAGCTATCAAATTATATGGTTTAATTACTTTCAAAGTAAGGTAAAATTATAAGATAAATTTAAAAAAAAGTTTCGAAAAAGCATAATGAATGTTCAATCCAGTCCCACGCATTCACCAAAGTAAAAAAAGTTGTCCTACTTACAAAGGATATATGAATCTATCATTTTCTAGATCTGTTAGGTCCAAATTAGCACCATCGACTTCCAACTCACCATTAGAGTCATCACTGACAAAACCCTTAGCTTCACCCTCTTCTGCTAAAACTTGCTTTCTAACTTTGTTCCTATTGTTTAAAATGAACCAGATAACTAAGGCAATTAACGGAGCAACAAAGAAAGAAAGTACAATTTGAACAATCCATGCAGGAACATATCTTGGTCCGTCTTTCTGCCTCCACAACTGAGGAGATATTATATTCGCAATGCTGTAACCGACAATAACCATTGCGTTCCTTGTCAACTTCTTGGTGTGACCAGAACAGGAAGTAGAAGCCCAAGAGAACATCAAGATCCAAGGAATACCGAAAAGTGGAGAGGCTAAACAGAGCATGGCCAAAAGAGCAATCTTTTTTTCCCATGGGATCGTGACAACAGCAATGGAAGCTGCAAACGAAGGAATAGTCCAAAAAACAACCGAGAATGCAGTGTAGTTCGTTTTGTAGAACAGGAAAGTTGTTGCAATTACACAACATATGACTGCAAAACCACCTGAAGCTACTGAAACTAACGTCGAGTCCAAATTATTGATTCTCCCAATACCTTCAAAAAGTAAGTTTTGTTGATAAGGTAAGTTGTTGGCCAATTGCTGTAAGAGGAAAAAAAAGAAAAACAACCAAGACACAGGATCCAACAAAGCCTCTATTGCTTGTGATTTCTTGAAAACTTTCTGCTCAATTGAGGCACCTGTCGTTCTTTGTACTCTTCTGATAGTCCAGATTTTCTCCTTTTCAGACAAAAACACTGCATCAGTTGGGTTACTAGGGTAGAGGAAGAAGATGACAATGGTCCAGAGGAAAGTACAACCACCAATAATTATGAAGAAAAGCTTCCAGATCGGAACACTAGATTTGGAGTAAAGAATACCGTAGGCAATAAAACCAACTGGAATAGTCACACCAAGACAAGTTGAATAGAACAATGGAGCCGTTGCAGCCTTCTCATCAGCAGTTAAAAATTGACCCATTGTGATATTGAGCATAGGAACGGCAACTGCTTCAACAAATCCCAAAAAAAATCTCAAAGCGTAGATACCCTGGTAGTTGGAAGCGGTACAGTGTAGGAAGATGATAATGGTCCACGAGACAGAAATAGCAGTCATCAACTTCCCAAGTGGAAGTCTTTGGACAAGAAGAAGGTTGAGTTGGCCAACAATAGTACCACAGTAGAAAAGAGTGGAGGAATTATTGTACTTGTTTTGGTCTAGCCCTGTATCAGCCCAAAGCTCGAAAATAGACGCATAGGATAGAGTAGCTTTATCCGAGTAAAGTAACAAGTTAGTCATTGAAGTCAAAAACACCACGATTCCGACCAACTTTCTGCTAAGTCTCTTCTCTTCGGCTGGCGTGATCTCAGGAACATCTGCATCATGTTTGGCCATGAAAGCCAAAGTGACATCTGCGTCCCGAGAGGAAATGTGTCTCTCTGACGTTGCAGTCTTTTGAATAACAGCATTATTCTCGTGTTTCTCTATCGATGAAGTTACCTCCGACATTGTGAAAACGTTCTCTATGTGTGTCGAAGTATATGTAGACGTAGGCGAATAACCGATACTTATATGTCAATATCGTGAGCGAAGGTCTGCGATAAAAAGGAACGTTTCCTAAACGGTTGTGCCACAAGTGATCAGCAAAGCGAAGAGAAACGGTCCTTTTATAAAAGAAAGGCGAAGGTTATCAACGGTAAAAAGGAAGTCACCAATATCTCTCCACGGTTGTTGCCATACTTTGTCAAACAATGTCAGCAAATTTTCATTTTCTTCCCTTGTGCCTCCCCAGCTCCGGTCATCGTCATGGTGAAATTAAGGCTGTTCGTGAACCCTCTCTTATCAAGACTCGTCTGTCAAACCTCTTCCCTGCATATGCGCCAGCGGCACCACTAGTGCGACAGAGCCTGCGTTCATATCCGCCAATATGCCAAACGTGCGCCTGCATATGTACTTATAGTGCGAAAAGAAATTGTGTATCTCATAAAAATAAAAGCGCCACAATTTTTACAATGGCCAGCTTACGTCAGCAATTTTTATGGCTTACAAAACAACTTGATTTCTACAGAAACGGTTGCACGGCGGACGCCCGTTGCCTAGTTAAGAAAGATTGCGCGGCAACACGTGATGAGGGGCTGGGGGTGAAAATTTATTTTTCCAATGGTGGAAAAGGCAGGGGGTGAGACCGGTTCTGATTCGGCTTGGACTTTCCCGATCTAGTAATTGGCATCCGCTTTCTCGATTATGGCAGTGGCAGCGATGCAATGATGAGCACCCACATTTTCGTTAAGGGAGGTTCGAAGAAAGGCCAAAGAGAGAAGAGAGGCCATCAGTTGAAGAATACATTAGAATCTCGGTGTCGATCAGCGTCACGCCGGAGTTGTGTTAAACTACACTCGTGACTATTCTTATCGTTGCTGCAATTTAGGTTCTCAACTTGCTCGGTTTTTACAAGGTTCTAAAGTATATTTTTAGACAAGAAATTATTTGGCAACCTTACAGAATCTAGATGGAGGAGGAGGAATCGGTGTGGTCTACTTCACGGTCCCGCACAAACAGCTCTTCGACGCCGTTTTGGTTTTTCGATACCCCTGTTCCTCCCACACTCTCTATGTCGACAATTTCGGTCCTAGAGTCGTCTGTGCTGGTGTCGTAGGTGAGGGAAATGTCGTCTTTGTTGTTCAGGTGTCTGTTTCCGGCAAAGCGTGGGAAGTACTTCCAATCGTATTTATCGCAGAACCAGCAGACGAGAAACACAATATGTGCGGATCCAATGAACGCGAAGTTGATGATGTATCCCTTTTTGAACCTGGGTCCGTCTGCAACATTGTACTGTAGTGGGATTGCAAACGCGTTGACGGCATACGACAATGCCTGCACCCAACTCAACACAATGGCCTTTTTCTCGACGTTGTCACTACACAACGTTGCAATCCACGTGTAGTACACCTGTGCTAGGCCGTCTCTGAACGGCCTCTGCAGAAAGAAGGCAGAGATCAACACTGCGTTTGGAACATCCCAGATAACCAATATGATACATGCGTAATATGCCGTCAGCATCACCAATGTCACTGGTATAATTTTCCCGTAGTATTTGCACAAAGGTGCCACAATAATGGCAGCCGGTATACCCGTACAGTACATGTACGAGTCCCAGTTAGTGACCATGGAGGTAGTGTAAAGGTCAGGCCTGGATTTCATGTAGAGCTTAGCACCGTTTGAGTACCAGGACTGGTGATGCAAGACCCAAAGTGCCGAGCCAACATATATTTGCCATGTTAATAGGGTTTCCTTCAGTGTTCTCCAAGTGAATTTCTTTGGGAAAGCAACTCTATTCTCCAATCTCTTCCTAGCAAAGATCATCTCATCTTCACTAAAGAATCCAAACTTCTTGCACGATGAAGGGATACCAGGGAAGAGTAGGAACCCGTAGAGAAATATTCCGAAAGTGATGACTGCATCTATGATGAACTGCCACCTCCATCCTGAAAGCCCTCTTATGCCGTCTAAATGTTCCCTTGCACTGGTCTGAAGTGCACCAGCACTGGCATTGCCCGCCACCGCAAAGGCTCCGTAAAACCCAGCTCTTTGGAAGAACTCTTTTTCGGTCAAGAAACTGGATATAATCACATATGTGGCTGGAAAAGAGCATGCTTCAAATACACCAATGAAAAATCGGATAGCATACATTTGGTTAGCGTTTTGTACGTATGCGTTTGCGAGAGTCATCATGCCCCATGCCAACTCGCAGAAAAGTAGCAAGTGTCTGGAAAAATGTGGCTTTGTGATAAGTAGTGTGATTGGGATTTGGAATACTGCGTAACCGACCGTGTAACAAGTATTAAAATAGTTCAATTCATTGCCTTTGAGGTTTAACTCTTTTTTCATGCCTGAAACATATGCGGAACCAACGTTGGCATTGTCAAGATACTTAGTATAAAACGAAGCACTTAGGAATAGCAAAACGCAGAAGTCAAATTTTAGTAAAAATTTTCTTTCATATTTACTATAATGAGAGGGATACCAGTTGAATGCTTTCAGTATATTGTACTTATCACTCTTTGAAACTTTTTCTGGCTTTCTTTCACGGTCAATTGTTGGATCGATGTAATCCTCCCTGAACGTGGAAGGGTTATCAATCTTAAAGAATTGCCAAATCGATTCTTTGAAGCTGGACATGGTTCACTTGCTCCCCGCCTATTCCTACAAAGGCTTTTTTCATTCCATTCCATCATATTGTCTAGAAAAGCTGGAATACAGGAAGTTTATACCTTTATACTATAACCCACTTTCCGACTCCCGCCTTTTGGTACTTAGTAAGCGGGGGGGGGAGGATTCAACCTCGAAATCAGCGTTGTGGCTACTCCGAGGCGGCAAAAAAATTACCGTTTTTCGACAATGCCGGTGCCACAGCTTTCCGCAATCGACATTATCAGAAGCTTCCTTCGGCCCTTGGCCAATTTCCGAGTAGACAGTGCCCAATGGGGTATAAGTATACTCAAGATTACAATTTGGTTTTGGTCGTACAATATAAAGTCTTGTTCCGTGGTATCATAGCGGTAATACCAAGGATTTCAAAACGTCGTTAAATATTCGTTTTCAAAAAAGAAAAAGAAATCATTCCCATTTATGTAGGTATTTTCCAAGGGATTCTCTTTGAGACTTTGACTCAGGGTTAAAATACGGTTTTTCAGCCAAAGATGTGACTCTGGTGCCGTGTCTTGCGTCCTTACCTTCGTGGTCCCAAACGGCTCTATGTTGAGCAATTCGGTTATCCCAGATGGCGGATGTACCATAGCCTGGTTTTGTGTTGGACCACTTGAATCTGACTTGGATATCTGCGTTCTTCTCGTAAACGTCAAACAAGTAGTTCAAAATCACATCACTTTCAACCGGTGAAAATCCGATGATCCGCCTTGTCATTGCTCTGTTGACAAACAAATACTTCCATCCCGTAGCAGGGTGTGTTCTCACTATCGGGTGAACCCTTTCGACCTTTTTTGGGCCAGCAAAAGGGTCGTTTCTGTCTAAGTATCCGTGTGCAGAAATGTAAACTGCCTCCTTGCCGTCCAATAGCTTTTTGAACTCATCACTCAACTTATCGTATGCAGCATAGCCCGATGCCCACATGGTGTCTCCACCAACTCCTGGAATTGCATCTAAATGTAAATGAGTATAACCTGCAGGCTGTCTTTCGTGAACCAAGTCTGCATGCCAAACCTGGTTACCAATGGCCGAGTTTCTTGTAGCATCCCAGTTTCCGAGGTTGTTGTTGCTGTAATTCAACTTCAAGCCCTGCTTGATTTTATAATCGTTCCAGATGACAGTTGCACCTGGCAAGCCAGGAACCTGAGGAGTTTGAGGGTGGACCTCTACGTTACCCCAATACTCACCTAGTTTGAGTTGGGTTTTCGGCGAAAGTTTCTGATCTCTGAAAAAGACAACTACTCTTTCGGCAATCAACAAGGCCAACTCATCCTTCTGCTGGTCAGTCAAGTCTTCCAACTGTAAGCCGACAATCTCCGTACCAACGTTCTTGGTCAAATTAATAACTTCTGTTGCGGCACCAAACAAGGACTTTTTGTCCTTATCTGCATCTTTCCCTCTCTCTGTGTATGGAACGTCGTAGTCTCTGATAGCAAAAGCCTGATCAACAAAAATTGGGATTTGGCTTCTATCAGGAACTTCTGGATAACCCCTAGAAACGTCGATACCACCCTCTTCAAGTCTCTGTCTGCTAGAGGCTGGTAAAATCTTCAAGCCAGCAGGGTCTGGACCGGAACTCAATGCTAACTTGTCACTCCGGTGTCTTGTGATATTCAATTCTTTGTGGTTTCTGATCAATTCCTCCACCTGTTCGTCAAGTGGAATATCGTTCACAACCAACAGCGTTTCCGCATCTGGTTGCTTTGCTTCGGCTAAAATAGAAGATTCGATTTTTGACATGGTCTGCTGCTTTTCTGCTTTTGCCCTTTAATGGATTCTCCTATCTTGCTCTTGTTTACCAACTTGTTCCATCAATCAGAAGAGGTAAAGAAGCCCGGAATACACAAGGAATTACCGTCACTTTTGGATCATACGGTTTAAATATCTTTCAGCGGAATTAGTAATAGCAAAGTGGTCAGTTAGGTGTGCATCCACCACAATCGGCCCCTCTTGCGGTGGAAGGATGATATCCGCTAAGAGCCTCGGAGCCACAAGTTTCCGCATTTTTTTCATCAACACCTTTAGGAGCTTTGAAGCCACAGTTTGTGTGGATATTTTTCACTCACTTTTACAACTCCGGCGACCCATCATGAATACACACCGCAGGCGGATACTTGTGCAGCCGAAGGCAGAGTCTCCACAGTGAATGTGTTAACATTATATATATTAGACCATGTACCTTGCGGAGATGAGTATCTACCCCTTCTAGGTCTGGCATCTCTGCGATGCCAGTAAAATTGGCGGAGTTTGAGTACCATATCTAAACGGATACATTTATAAAAAAAAAAAGATGACTATTGACCCACCACAGACATTCAGTGTTAAGTCGGTGGCCATTATAGGTGCTGGACCATCTGGAATTGCATCTTTGCATGACCTTTCACGTGTTACGAGAAGCGGTAAGTCTCTGTTTGGAGAACGGGATATATCGAAGTACGAAAAGGAGGGTGACTTGGCATTTCCAGACTTGGTTGCTTTTGAGAGAAACGCTTCCGTCGGAGGTGTGTGGAGCAAAAGTGCATTTGCGGAGAACAACAGGGACCCAAACTTGCCTGAGTTCAAGGATGACTCGGTGGACCTGACAAACCCGGAGAACGTGTACCAGAAAATACCTATTGATGCAGGATTGGAAAAAAAGCTGGGAGATTCGAGTGTTGACCACCCGGTGAAAGTGCTGGTCACCCCGGAAATCTCCACCAAGATCCAACATCAATGGAGAAGTTCTGCAGCATACAATGGTCTCTTCACAAACGTCACCAACAGATACATGTCCTTTTCGTTTGACGAGAGACTCGGCGACGATCTCAAGAAGATCAACTCTAAATACAAGCATATCCCAGACCACCAGTCTTCGAGAGACGTTTCGGACTATTTGGAGCGGGTTGTTGCCAACAACAACTTGGAGAAGTACATACGTTTCAACACCAATGTCGAGAGAGTCAAGAAACTCCCTAGCGGGAAATGGGAAGTTGTGGCCTCGCATTTAGCTGAGGAGAACGGGGTTCAGTATTTGCATTGGTATAAGCAAATTTTTGACGCCGTTATTATTGGAAACGGCAAGACGGTTCCCATTGTTCCGAACATCAAGAACATGGCCAAGTTTGCCGAAGTTAACAAAGATAAGGTTACATTCAAATTGGCAAAGTCGGTGCAGGACCCTTCGTTCATCCGTAATGCCAAGAAGCCCTTGTTCATTGGATCTTCGGTGTCGAGTGTCGACTTGATCCAATACGCATTCCCAAGAGATCTAGAAAAGCCCTCGGTGTACATTTCCCGAAGAACAGAGACTGCAAACAGTGGCTGGGTGATGTTCTGTTCGTATGCAAAGGGGGTCGTCAACAAGCCAACGATTGAGGAGTTTTTGCCCGAGTCGAACTCGGTCAGGTTTTCGGACGGTACTGTCGAGAGTGGGTTCGACGCCATCATTGTGTGTACTGGCTACCACATGTTCTACCCATTCATTGACAAGTCCGTCGTTGACTCGAATCCAAACATTTTCAAGTTTTTCAGATACACGTTCTCCATGGCAGACCCAACTCTCGCCTTGGTGGGCAACACCTACGCAGGGTTCTTCTTCAACAGGGTTGAATCACAGGCTGCGGCGTTGGCCGGGGTGTGGACCAACCAGTCCAAGCTCCCCTCCTTAAAGGAGCAGGAGCAGGAGTACGAACAGAGGCCAGGGCTCCTAGTCGTCCCAATCATAGACAAGCGGTTTATCCGTCCATTGATTTCCCTTGCCATCGAGGGCAGGCCTCACCCGTTCACGGTCAACAAGGAGAAGAGCGATTACATCTACCACGTGGCCACGGGCGGGCACACGATTTTGGGGTTGTTCTTCAAGGTCCGAAACGGGGAGGTCGACTCCAGAGACCTCTTGGCCACCTAGTGTTTTTGATTAGTAGTGCGTTCTATTTACCGATTCTTCCTTTCTCGTTATACACCTTATTTTTTCAAATACATGTTTTAACCACAGACTTTCGATCTTGGAAATGTGCAGATGCGCAAGAGTGCAAATGTGCAAGAATGTCATCTATTGGTCTATATTGTAGTACTATACTATACTCTAAACAAGCGGCAAACTAGATCGATCTGTCGTTGACCGGGTCGATGGCAAAGACCTTGTCCGGGTTGAGGATCTTGTGTGGGTCGACGGCAAACTTGATCTTACGCATGAGCGCGATCGTGTCCTCGCCAACCTCGTTGACCAAGAACTCCTTCTTGCCGACGCCGATGCCGTGCTCGCCGCTGACGGTACCGTCAACAGCCAACGCCCGGTCCACCATCTCCTCCACAAGCTTCGCCGCAATCTGGCGCTGCTCCTCCGTGAAGAGGATCACCGTGTGGTAGTTCCCGTCGCCAGCGTGGCCCACAATCGACGCCACCAAGCCGGACTTTTCCATCTCCGCCTTGGTCGCCTCAAGCGACTCCACGAACCGCGAGATCGGCACCGCCACGTCCGTGGTCCACACGAGGATGTTCGGGTCCACCTGCTCCTTGCCGTACTGGATCGACGACCACAAGCACACCTTGCGGGCGTTCCAGAGCTGGAACTTCTCCTCCTCCGACGCCGCAAACTTGAAGCTGCTGGCCCCGTTGCGCTTCACGATGGCGCGCACCGTCTTGGTCACCGAGTCCGTGGTCTCCTGGGACGAGCCGCCGATCTTCAACAACAACGTAGGCGCCTCCTCATACCGCGTCTCGGACTGGCCCGAGTAGTTCACAAAGTGCATCATCTTCTCGTCCAGGAGCTCCACCGCGTTCAGCTGGAGGCCCTCCTGCACAAAGTCTGCCACCGACGTCGCCGCCCCCGTCAACGACGGGAACGAGATCAGCGCCACGTTTTCAAACCGCGGCTTCACGTGTAGCTTCAACGTCACCTCCGTGACGATGCCTAGCGTGCCCTCGCTGCCCACAAACAGGTTTGTGAGGTTGTAGCCCGCCGACGACTTTCTGGGTCTGCGCTTCGTCTTCACCACCGTTCCGTCCGCAAGCACCACCGTCACAGACACCACGTTTTCCCGCATCGTGCCGTACCGGTTGGCGTTGGTTCCGGAGCACGACGTGGCCACCATTCCGCCGATGCACGCGCCGGGGCCGGGGTCCGGCCCGAACATCAGGTTGTAGTCCGCCAAGTACGTGCGGAGGTCCTCCCAGCCCACCGCGGGCTGCACCACCACGTCCAGGTCGTCTGCGTGCAACTCCACGATCTTGTCCATCCGGCCCAGGTCCACGCAGATCCCCGCCCGCGTCGAGATGAAGTGGCCCTCCAACGACGTGCCGCCTGTGAAGGGCACCACCGGCACCCGCAGCTCGTGGCAGATGCCGAGCACCGTGGCCACCTCCGCCGTGGACTCCGGGTACACCACGGCCGCCGGCGCCTCGTCGGGCCGCGCGTGGTCTGTGGCCCACTCCGAGTCGCTGTGGTGGGAAATTTCGGCGGCGGCCGTGGAGAGCTTGTGCGGGCCGAGGGCGGCGGCAATGCGGGCCACGGCCTGCTGCGGGTCGCCGTAGCGGGGGGGCGCGCAGTCCGCCAGCCGGGTGACGGACGAGCCGGGGAAGACGTCTTCGGGCGGATTCTGGGTGAGCGCGTAGTAGGCAATGGCGCCGCCGCCGGCGGCGCCCGCTGCGAGCGAGGCGAGCAGCGGGGCCAGTGTGGGCGGGGCGGCGGCCGGGGGGGCGGCGTTGGGGGCCGCAGTTGAGTAGTGCAGCGGCTTGGTGCGCAGGGCGGGCGATCTGCCGACGGCCCTCGCGGAGGCTCGTGCTGCGGTCAGCAGGGTGTGCAGAGACATGGGGATGGTGTGCGGAGGGAGCAGCAGCACGGCAGGGTGGACGAGGACAGCACAGCACAGGCCACCAAGACGGCGGGACGTGGGGGTTATAAAGCTCGGCAGGGAATTCCAGCGTGTGAGGGCCGGGGCCGTTGGCGATGCGACCAAGCACGGGATGGCAGGCGATTGCAGGCGTTTGCAGGCGTTTGCAGATACACAGCGGGAAAAATGAAAAGTGTGGCGCGCGGGCGGCGGCGGCGGCGCGGGACGCGGAACACCGGGGCGTCAGGGTGTGGGCCGGCGCCGGCGCTAGGCAAACGCGGCGTAGGCGGCGGTCTCGAACTCCGCAAAGCCGGCGAGCGCCGTCGCGTCGCAGAAGGGGAACAGCTGGGTGGCAAACATGCCGGCCACGCCGCGGGCCGGGTCGATCCAGTAGTAGAGGTTGGGCAAGCCGGCCCAGCTGTAGCTGGCGGCAGCGCGGCCCGTGGGCAGGGCCACGTCGATCTTGTGGAAGCTGGCGGTCCAGCCCTGCTTGTCGGGCGGGAAGCGGTCAAAGAGGTCGACCTTGTTGGAGAGCGCCGGCTGCGAGTGCTGCAAGGACGACTCGACGTGCACGCCTGGCGGGAGGAGGTCGGCCAAGGAGTAGGCGGCCACCGTGTCGGGGCGCAAGATCTGCTCGCCCGTGGCGGGGGACCGGCCCTCGTGGAGGAAGATCTCGAGAAACTTCATGTAGTCGGCCACGGTGCCGTAGAGCCCGTGGCCGCCCGGGTGGAACTGCGGGTCGTCGACAAGCGCGCCGCGCAGCGGGGCGAGCGTGCCGTCGGCGGCGCGCTGGTGGAGCTCCGCGGCGGCGGCGCGCAGGCCCGGGGTGCGGTCGAAGGTGAGCGTGTGGGCGGCCAGCGGGGCGAAAATGTGCCGGCGGCAGTACTCGCCGAGCGAGAGGCCGGACACCTCGTACACCACCTTGCCCACCCAGTCGGTGTTGACGCCGTAGTGCCAGCGCGTGCCGGGCTCAAACAACAGCGGGGTCTTGAACTCGTCCCAGGTGCTGCGGAGGATGTCCGGGGTGCCCGTGTCGTGCTGCAGCTGTGCGTACGCATGGCTGAAGAACGGGTACGAGAAGCCCGCCGTGTGCGTGAGCAAGTGGCGTAGCGTGGGCTTGGTGGCGGGGGCCTGCAGCTGCTGCGTGCCGTCCTTGGCCTGCACCAGCACGGGGATGTCCCGTATCTCGGGCACGTAGTGCTCGACCGGGTCGTCGATGGAGCGGATGAGCCCGCGCTCGAGGAGCTGGAGCAGTGCCGTGGTGGTGACGGCCTTGGTGCACGAGAAGAAGGCGAGCGGGGTGTCCGGGCCGGCTGGGGCGGCCGTGGGGTCGGCCGCGTCGCGGCGGCCCCGGCCGCCGAGGTAGACGAGGCCCTTGTCCCGGGTGACGACGGCGCCGAGGGCGCAGGGGAGCTGGTTGGACTCGGAGTAGCGTTCGAGGATGTTGTCTAGCTTGGACTTGGTCATGGTGGTCGTGGGGGTGGTGTTGGTGGTGGCAGGGGGGGCATTTTGGTGGCCTAGGCGTGGCTGACGGGCTTCGCTGGCGTGTGTGCGACGAGGCGGTCCGTCTTTTATAGTTTCAGGGTCGGGGGAGCCGCCGTGGGTGGCGGTCCGGCCGGACAATAGGTGGTGGTGCGGGGTAGCCCCGGGTGGAGAAGTCGGGACAAGGGGAGGGCCGGTGGAGGATCGGCGGGCGGAGTCGGCGGAGGCCGGCGGCCGGCGGGGGGAAAGAGCCGAGCCGCGGCGGGGGTGCGGGGCCGTGCGGGGTGTGGGGTAGGAACTGCGCTGGTTGTGGCTATACGGTGGAGAGAAGTATACGGAGCTAGAGCTTCGGGACGGGGGCCGGCTGCAGAGACTGCAGAATGCGGTTCTCGGTGGCGGTCATGCGGTCGGGGGTGATGCGGAAGGCAGCCGGGATGTCGGCGAGGCCGGGGGCGGGGTCGCCGGCGACGCCGGCGGCGTCGGCAGCAAGACTGCCGGCAAGGGCCCGGGCACACAGGAGCACGCGGGGCATGCCGTGGCCGTGGAAGCCGGCGATGACGTACTTGCGTGGCTCGTCCGGCAGCGCACCCACGTAGGGCAGGGTGTCGTCCGTGTAGCCGAGGATGCCGGACCACACATGGTCGGCGTGGGTGGCCACACCCTTCCAGGTGTAGAACATCTTCTCGAGGTAGCCCGAGAAGTAGGCCTCGGAGCCCGGGATGAGGGTGCTGTCGTCGACGACGTTGTAGAAGCGGTCCTTGTAGGGGAAGATGTGTTTCTTGGCGCCGCCGAGGACGACCGACCCGTCTGGGCGGTTGATGAGGTAGTCCGTGTCTGCGCCGGCAAAGCGGATCCCGTACGTGTTGGTGAGGTGCGGGGCCCGATCCGCCGCAGAGACAGGCACGATGTGGCTGCAGGCGCCCTTGATGGGGACGATCTTGTTGCGGAACCGGGGCTCCACGGACGCCGTGTAGGCGTTGGTGGCCAGCACCAGCCGGCCGGCGACAACGGCGCCGCGCGGGGTCCGCACCAGGTACCGGCCGTCGCCGAGCCTCTCCGTGGCGACAACGGGGGTGTTTGTCTGGAGGTTGAGCCCCGCGGCCACGGCCTTGCGCAGCACCGCGGTCACCAGCTTGTACGGCCACAGCTGGCCCGCCGTGTACGTGACACACACCGGCGAGCCGTCGACCTTCGAGATGACGCGGGCAGCGTCGCCCTGCGTGAGCTGCACGTCCTGCTTGCACCGCACGTGCGGGTTCTTGCACATCTCCGTGTAGTTGGCGACGGCCCGCTCGGCTGCGGTGCCGTGCAGGTGCACGTCGCACGCCCGTGTCAGCACAAAGTCGCAGTCGATCTGCTCTCCCTCCACGAGCTCCTTCATCGCCTGGAGGTGGGCGTGCTCAAAGTTGATGATCTCCGCAGCACCCGCCTCGCCGTACTTCTCCCGGAAGTCGTTGTGCGAGTAGTAGAGGTCGGGCTTGAGGTGGCCGCCGTTCCGGGCCGTGGCGCCGCTGCAGACGTTCCGGGCCTCGAGCATGAGCACGCTGCCCTTGAACTGCGGCAGCAGGTAGTGCGCCGTCGTGGCGCCGGCGTAGCCGGAGCCGACAATGACGACGTCGGCCTCCGCAGGGAGCTCCGGCGTGCTGCGGAACGTGGCAAAGTCGTCCTCGGCCGTGAGCCAGAACGACTTGGTGGGGTTGGCGACAGGAAGTACGTCCATCGTGCGTTGCTTGGTGGCTGTGTGGAGGGCGGCTTCGGAGTTGGCGTGGCCTGGCGGACGACCATGCAGCCTGCAGTGCCAGCAGGAGCAGCCTCTTAAGTACCTCTGCGGTACCGCCCAAGTACCTCTTAAGTACCTCGGCCTGACACGCCCGGGGCGCTTATCTCCCGCTATCGGCGTCTAAACTGCCTGATCGGGCAACCCGGCGCGTCTGCCGAAACGGGCACTTCCCCCCTCCGCTTCTCCCCCGCAAAAACGGCCGACGCGTCGATCTGCGCAGAAAAACCCTCGACCGGACTCTCTGCGCCGCTGCGCCGGCTTGCGCCGTGTATCTCCGTGCAATCCACCCCGCTTACGTAACCGCAGGGCTGCCTGCATGAATTTGTCAGTCGTCAGCCGCCAGATATCTTCACCTCTTCTGCAGCCCCTTCTTCTTCTTCCTCTTCCTCCCCAACACACCCACGACCTTTCTCCCTTTCTCTCCCGCTCCGTCACCAGCTACCCCTCACCACCGCACCCGCCATGTCCCAGCTCACCGACAAAGAACTCGCTCTCCTCAAGGAAACCGTCCTCCACGCCCAGACCTTTGCGTACTGCCCCTACTCCAAGTTCCGCGTCGGCTGCGCCCTCCTCGCCCAGTCGGGCAAGGTCTACACAGGCTGCAACGTCGAGAACGCAGCCTACCCGGCCGGCATCTGCGCCGAGCGTACCGCCATCACCAAGGCCGTCAGCGAGGGCGACACCGCCTTTAAGGCCATCGCCGTCATCACCGACTCGCCCTCCTGCTCCTCCCCCTGCGGCGTGTGCAGACAGGTCATCCGCGAGTTTGCCGGTGCCAACACCGCTGTCGACCCGGTCTCGGGCAACCCGCTGCGTCTCCAGCTCCCGGTCATCATGTTCAACAACACCGCCTCCAAAAGCCTTGTGCGGACGATCGACCAACTTCTCCCGCACAGCTTTGGGCCGGAAGACCTCTCCGACGCCGCCGCCGTCTAAACCCGTCCATTCCCGTCTAGAGCCGGCCCGCGCGCCCAACGCCGTCTATCTCCGCCGGAGACACGGAGTTTTGTGCGCTTTCGCCGTACGGCAACCGCGCGGCTGTGTCCGAAAAACGGCCGTTCCCCTCGGAAACGCCTTTTTTCCGTGTCGGCCGTTTTTTCCGGGTCTGTGTGGCCGTGGATGAGGCCCTGTCGTCGGAAAGGCCCTCCTTGGACCTCTGGCGTTGGCAGAAACGTGGAATCTATGTCCCCCGCATCTACGTACCGTTGTCTATAGAGCAATACAGCGTCGCATCGAGGTCTTCCGCAGCAGAAACACCTTCTGCAACAGATAAGAACGGGCACTCTGCACACGGTCGTGCACCTGTCACATCGCCGATGCCCGCCATTATCTCTCTCGCCCGACATTTTTTTCAGCTGAGATCCTTATCTCTGGGACTTTTTTTTCTTTTTTTCGTTTGCTTTTCCCTTTTGCGTTGTGGAAGCACCTTGAAAAATTTCTCCGTATATTACTGCCCATGTTTCTCTGCTTTTCCTCCTCCAGTTGTGTGTGGGTCCGGTGATTTGTCTTCTCCCTCGTCCCCCTCTTTCTCCTCCTCCCTCTCCTTCGAAATGTTCCGTAAACCCAGCAGCATTCTCTACCGCCGTGGCCATGTTCGTTGACACCGTCGAAAGCAGAACGTCCTACGCTGTGCCTGTCAGCAAGGACGACGAAGTCATCAGGTCTTTGGGCTACAAGCCCGAGTTTAAGAGGGACCTTTCTCTGTGGGCCACCTTCTCCGTCTCCTTCTCCGTCTTGGGCTTGATCCCGTCCGTGGCGTCCACCATGTGGTACTCCATCGTCTACGGTGGTAACGCGGGCCTCACCTGGGGTTTTCTCATCGGCATGACAGGTGTGATGGCTGTCTGCTGCTCGATGTGCGAGATCTCGAGCGCCTACCCAACGTCGGGAGGCCTCTACTACGCCACTGCAATGTTGTCTCCTCCTAAATACAAGGCCGTCCTCTCGTGGACCGTTGGCTGGTCAAACTATTTTGTCCAGTTGACAGGTGGGCCTGCCGTCGGCTGGTCCTGCGCAAGTATCATTTTGGCCTTGAAGACCATGACAGACCCAACGTACGAAAACAAAACTTGGCACACCTACTTGCTCACCATCGGCATCACCTTCACCTGTGCCTGCATCGCTTCCTGCCCAACCAGATGGATCGCACGCATCAACTCCTGCACCTCCATCTTGAACATGGTCTTCTTGTTTGTTTCCTGGATCATCATCTTGGCTGCAAACAACAGAACTAATCTCGGTCTCCCTAAGTTCAATGACAACAGAAAAGCCTGGGGCATCGACAACTTCACCGACTGGCCAGATGGAATCTGCATGTTGATGACCTTCCTTGCCGTCATTTGGACCATGTCAGGATTTGACATTCCTTTCCATATTGCCGAAGAGAGCTCCAATGCACAAATATCTACTCCACGGGCCATTTTTATGACTGCCAGTATCGGAGGAGCCCTTTGCTTTGTCTATCAATTGTCCATCGCTTACACCATCGTGGACGTCGAAGGAGTCGTCAACAGTGAGATTGGCCAGCCTTACGTTTCTTACTTAGCTCAGGTCCTCGACCGTCGCTCTTGCCTGGCACTAGCCTCCTTCTCCATCATCTTGACTTTTTCCATGTGCTTCACTTCCATGATTGCTGCCTCCAGAGTGTTGTTTTCCTACTCCAGAGACAATTGCTTTCCAATGTCCCACATCTGGTGTCACATCAACACCAAAACGAGAACCCCTGTCAACGCTGTCTGGATGAATTGGTTTATTGGTGCATGCCTTGACTTGTTAATGTTTGGAGGTGTCGCCATTAACGCCATCTTCTCCTTAGGTGCAATTGGTTCCTTCATCTCCTTCACCTTCCCAACTCTTTTGAGGATCACCTACGCGAGAAATACATTTGTCCCAGGGCCATGGAACATGGGTAAATGGACATACTTTTGTGGATGGTATGCTGTCGGCTTTGTCCTCTTGATGATCCCAATTCTTAACTTCCCACAATTCAGAGGGAAAAACTTGACGCCAGAATTAATGAACTGGACCTGTTTGGTCTACTATGGTGCCATGTTCCTCGCTCTTGCATGGTACTTCATATACGCACACAAAATCTTCAAAGGTCCAAAGAGTAACATCACTAACACTGTCATTCAGAATTACGAAGAACTTGAAGAGCAAGTAGACTTGGTTGAAAAAATAGCTGATCAAGAAGCAGAGGCAAAAACCACTGGTCACGTTTCTTTGAATTCTGTTGAAGCCACTTCTTCAGATAACGTCTCGAAGAAAAACTCTGAATTTGTCAAAAAGGAAGAGGTCTGATTTGGTGTCGACAGCTTTCTTGGAGTCGTTGGCTCGCTTTTGAACATAACCTTCAACTTCTTGTATTTTCGTTTTATAATTAGCTACATGGTATCTATTGTATCGATCGCTCGCACAAAATCTTTTGTTTAATAAATAATATAATGGAAGCGGTAACATTTTCGAGTTTATTATTTTCAGAACAAGAGCATGTTACCTTTCTTAGATAGGCCAGTCACCCTGCCAGTACGTCTAATTTTCTTAATCTTATTCTCTCCCCAAACACATAAAAAACATATGGAATGGGAATCATCCCTAGTGCAATGAATCCGATCAATGATGAACCCCAATGAACTCCCAAGTTTACAAACAATTGTCTAGCAAACAGTGGGAACACGGCTGCAAAAGTGGATCTTAGAAATGTATTGGCAGCAATCGCAGAAGCAGCATATGTAGGATAAAAATCAACCAAATAATTCAAACACCCCTGAAAGATAGTAATGAAACCTGCACCCATCATAAGTATTCCCAAACAGGGTACCACCCAGTGTATGTCGTTATATAACGTCCAACCAAAGATGAAAATTCCTGCCGGCATCATCCAGCCAAGCATCATCATAATAGGTAAACGTTGTTCCGGTATTGCCTTACCATCATTTTTGCCAACAACTTTAGAATATCTCAATGCCCATAGCATGTTCCCAATACACCCTAAAAATACCCCCAAAAATAGAGAGACATTTGGTACTTCAGTCTTAGTGCCTTCCCACTGTTTTGTGAGCTCAAAAGCTGTGGATATGTTGGTAACCATCAAGTAGAAAAGTCCATAAACATAGCTTGCAAACAGAGCCATAATGAACACGATGGGTATCGTAAGCATCACAAAAGGACGTATCACTTGTGAAGTTAAAAGTTTCCGCCAATCCAAGTGCAAAGTATCGAGTTTGGTATGTAAGATCCAATTTCCTGTCTTTATTCTTTCAACCCTCACAATGCGCTGTAGAATGACTGGATCATAAGTCTCATTCGTGAAGATATACATGAGCAAAAACAACACCAGATCACAGAGTCCAATAAACCACTGAGCGATTCTCCAAGACTCCCTGCTGGAATTACTATTTATCAACAAGGAACAGATCACCGGGCCAAAGGAAGCACCATTGGATACAAAACAGGCGTATAATGCAAAGGCCACTCCACGAAATGAAGGATCCCATAGGTCCGCCATGACTCCCCCCGCAGACACAATGGGGGCACCAGCAAAAAACCCTGCAAAAAACCTGCAAATCATGATAGACGGAACATTATAACAGATTGACGTCACAAAAGTGAGCATGCAAGAAATGAAAAACGGAATCAACACACCTGCTTTTCTCCCATAAACTTCTGAAAGTGGTGCAAAAACCATGGGTCCAAATGCAATACCAAAGATGTAAAGAGATATCGTAAGCACCGAAGCTTCTCTACCGAGGTGATAATTACTTTCCATTTCTTTGAAAAAATCGCCAGATGACGTCGTAGTCGAATTGAACTGGGCTGCAAAAGTAACAAAACTGTAGAGTATTGTGTACAAGATTTTAGTTTTGAAACTCCAGTTTCTTGCCTTTGTCGGAGAATTCTCTTTAAATGTTACAAACCCATCTTCGTCAACTTTTAAATCGTTGTCGTAATCATTTGACCCACTATCCGTTAAATAAATTTCGACTTGACTCTGACCTTCACTATCATTTTTTTCAGCAGTTTTCGCCATTTTTGATCCCGTGGTTCAACTGAGTCGCAATCCATATACCGTGTGCTATTGAAGATGTGCTTAACATTTTAGAGAAAAGAAAACTTGTGTCAATGATCAACAGAAAGAAAGAGGAACAGAAAGAAGAACCACAATTCCATTAGCTGTATTTCCAGCGGAAGCCTTATCACCGCATATAGCCCCTGCATAACTTTCCGTATCTTCTTCGGCGGTCGTAAGTATTTACAGAGAGGGCCGAATCCAGAACTTTTTGGGACGATAAGTTCCTCGAGCTGCTCCGCGCAAAAGATACGCAATTGCCGGTTTGGGAAAAAGTGGCGGTGTGTTATCTTGACGCGAGAAGATAAGGTGTATATACGATCAGCCGAACTGTCTCTAATCATCGACCAATGTTCATCACAACCAGGAAAGCATATCTTATCTTTGTGATAATTTTTTGGGCAGCATATCCTAGTCCGCTGTCATTGTTGGATATAAAAATGACTAAGCTTTCCTCTCCCGTCCTCCTAGACATTTCATATCAGAAACTAATCACGAATATTTTAACTTTCTGCAAAAACAACTGCAATTAATTGATAATCAAAATGACCTCTAGCAGTAGGGAAGACATCAAAGATGCAAACTATACCCTTGATGTTACCTCTGTAAATGACTTAGACCCGGTTATTTCGACCGTGGTTTCATTGAACGGTAAGAGAATAGAAGTCCACGAAAAAGATGCAGATATTGCAATGCAATATATTGACGACGTTACAGGTCTAGTGCTTGATCCAGAGTATGAGAAGAAGGTGTTGAGAAAAATTGATTGGGCTATTTTGCCAATTATAGTCGGATTGATGTCGTGCCAATTGATGGATAAAACTACGAACTCCTACGCTTCCATCATGGGCCTTCAGAAGAGCTTGAACATGTCCGCAAAGGAATATAGTTGGGTTGGATCATCGTTCTATTTTGGCTATTTGATTTTCCAGTATCCTGCCAATCGCATGCTACAGAGATTACCTCTATCCAAAACTCTCTCCTTGGCAGTTATTGCCTGGGGAGTCATTTTGATGTGCCATGCAGCATGTACTAATGCTGCTGGGTTTTTAGCTTGTCGTGTCATGCTTGGTGTATTTGAAGGCTTCATGAACCCTGCATATATTTTGCTTACATCCCAATGGTGGAGAAAGAGTGAACACTTTATGAGAACTTGTATTTGGTGGGGGATGCAAGGATTTGGTACTATTTTAGGAGCAGGGATTGCCTACGGCTTGCAAGTTCATCGTACTGGACCTCACTCTTTCCCTTCCTGGAAATGTGTCTACATTATTACCGGATGCATAACGCTACTGCTTGGTTTTATCAGTCTTATTCACATTCCAGATGTTCCAACAAAAGCCTGGTTTTTGAATGAAAAGGACAAGATTTACGTTGTGGAAAGGGCAAGGGAGAACCAACAGGGGTTTGGGAATCAAAAGTTCAAGTGGAATCAATTCAGAGAAGCGATTTTAGATCCATGCACCTATATTTTCTTTTTCTATGGTCTTTCATATGCAATTCCAAATGGTGGTTTCACCAACTTTGGCTCGATGTTGCTAAAGGGCGATTTTGGCTTTTCAACTGCAGATGCTCTTCTAATGAACATGCCAGGTGGTGGTATTGATATTGTGTTCCCATTTGCAGTTGGGATAATCAACTACCACATTTTCCACAATCAAAGGTTGATCTCCTGTATTATTGTCAATTTGATAGTTACAGTTGGAATGTGCTTACTCAATTTTACACCCCACAAGTCCTCGAAGCTTGTTGGTTATTTAAGCTTTTACATGGCTACAGCAGTATCTGCCGGTATGTGTTCGGTGGTCTCTTCTAACGTTGCAGGAAATACCAAGAAAATTGTTGTAAACATGTTCTATCTTGTTGGATACTGCACAGGTAACATTATCGGTCCTCAAACTTTTAATCCTGCTCAAGCTCCAGGGTATTCTGGTGCAAAAGCGGCAATGTTAGCTTCGTTTGCAGGAGGTTCCTGCTTGATAATGATACTTTATGTCATTTACTTTTACAGGAACAAAAAGAAAGATAGACTTGTTGCAGAGTTGGGTGATAAGTACTCAGTTCCAGATAACATTGCTTTTGCTGACTTAACCGATATGGAAAACCCGGAGTTTAGATACTCGTTGTGAATCTTTTTTATCTTCTTCTACACTATTGACTCTATTTTTATAAGCTTTATACTAATTGTTTTTATTTTTCATAAACACTCATAAATCAAGGCTACTTCAGCACACATAGCTGCTGAAAAAGTATTTCGAGTAAAAACAACAGCATTGTTTCCTTCGACGCTTTGCGCAAAAATACTTCTTTGAATTGTATATTTTTCCGGTAATCCATTTCTGGTATGAAAACTACAAGTTTCGACAGGCGAGATGGTAAAGTTTTCGCAATCCCTTATTTGGAAATTCGAGGTTGACATCTCCGATAAGCTAGGAAATATCCGATCAAGATATTCCAAAACACCAAGGTATATATAACTTTAGCAGTATCTTTACAGCAAAATGTTAGTAATGATAGTGACTGAGAGAATAGAAGCTGGAAATGAAGCTGACATGGGTATCGAATAACAATAGAATATGAAGCAAGATAGTAAAATTATTGTGCTTGGTGCTGGCGTGATGGGGTTATCGACAACCTTATCATTGCTGGAGCGGGATTATACAAACGTTCACCTTTTTGACAAGCGTGATTATCTATCCAAAAAGTATAGCTATTTTGAAGGCTGTGATAGTCCTTCGTCTGACCTAAACAAAGTTTTCAGGTCATCTTACGGTTCTGAAGTTCATTATCAAAAGATGTCCAATGCTTCTCGAGAAAAATTCATTGAATGGAACAAAGAAATTGCCAAAGAAAACTGGGAAGGTGGTGAGCCAATTTATTACAACACAGGTAATGTTCACCTTACAGATAAAAAGGTTTTGCCTGAGTTTGAGAGACTCAGTTTGAAAAATATGCCTGAAGACTCTATCTGTATATCCGACAGGGATGCTGAAGAAAGAGCGGTTAATAGCGGCTTGTATCCTTGCGCTATAGATCCTTTTGATATGAGGAAAAGAGGCAAGCATTTGCAAGGCCTTTTGGATACCACGGGTGGTATGACATTAGCCGATAAGTCATGTAGATGGGTTTTAAAAAAGTGTATGCTGAAGGGAAAGGACAAATTATCAACCTATTTTGGAGATCCTGGAACGCTAACAGAACTTCTTCTAGAGTACAATGAACTTACCGGAGGAAAGAAGTGTGTTGGAATAAAGACAAAGGATGGTACTCGGCATTTCTGCGACCATCTTATTGTTTGTGCCGGTCCATGGTTGAGTGAGATTATTTCCGAAGCAGGAGAGAAAGTCGAAGCAACCGGTGGTTCTGTTTGCATGATCAAGATAAAGGATAAGGCGACACAAAGAAAGTACGCTCAGACAAAGTTCCCGACATGGACCTACAAAGTCAGAGATGGTGCACTTGGAGGATTGTACGGTTTTCCTTGTACTGAAGGATATATGAAGATAGGTTACAGAGGCTTGAAATGGATCAACCCCGTCGGCGACATCAATTCAAAAGTGAAAACCAAATGGAGTCCTGAGGAGCAGGAAACAAACATCCCTCTCTTTGCGTTGAAGCAAATCAAGAACTTCATCAGAGAAAACATTCCGGAGGTGAAGAAGATCTCCATGACTCGGCTTTGTTGGTATTCAGATAGCTCGGACAATGACTACCTAATATCATACTGCCCCTACTACGAAGACCGGTCTGTTTTTGTCATGGCCGGCGATTCTGGACATGCGTTCATGATGCTAGGCAGTATTGGTGATGTTGCAACCGATATCATTAACGACGAGGGAGATCCATTTCTGAGAAATCTGTTCTCTTGGGAGAGAGAAAGAGAGACGCTGAATATTATCAATTCTGGAGCAGAGGATCCGAGATGCCTAACAGAAACGGTGATGGCCTCTCCTAAGGACTGGTGGATTGACGAACCGTCCAAATTGTAAGACAGTTATTTGAAAAATTTGTATTGTCTAATATTTTTTATTAAGCACAGCTTACAAAGTTACAAATGGCCTTAGGAGTAGAACTTAGAGCTAATGGATCTCTCCTTAGGAACGTCGATTAGGCCCTTGCCTTCCTTCAACTTGAATTGGGTAGCTTTCAAAAGATGGTACAAAAGGTCCAATGTTGGAGTCTCCACCTTGAGCTCCCTCGCAACGACAAGCAAATTTCCGAGGATGACTTCGAGCTCAATTGGGTTTCCCTTTTCGACATCAACAAGCATAGATGGCTTAAACCAGTCGCCGTCGTCCGAATGGACAACAGTGTTGATTACATCCTCCGGCAACTCGACCCCGTCTGCCTTGGCAACCTTGACTCCCTCGCCGGGGCCTGTACTATCTACCCTCGAAAACACATCCCTTCAGCTGTTTAACTCTTCACTAGCTGAAATAGAAACGTCTTTGCTCAAAAACTTGAATAT